CAAAAAATTAAATAAGAAAGATAGAACCAGAAAACTAAAGATAAATGACAGTAGAATAGATCTAGGGCTTCCCCGGAAGCTCCAGGGATTAAGTCTCAGCACTATGAAGCTATCTGTAGCAGTTGCAGCATGAGTTCAATCCCTGGCTTGGGAACTAACCCACCTGGTGTAGCAGACCTCTCCTGTCTCACCCGCTGCTCCCCTCAACAGTGTATTTCAGTCAATCCACCTATTTTGCTTCCCACTCTGTCTCTGGTGAATCCTCTCACCTCCACTCTGGCCTACACCCCCAGCTCTTGTATGCATAAAATACATCTTTAAAAAGATACATTAAAAAAATACATCTATATATCAATACTCACTCTAAATGTAAATGGACTCAACCAATCAATCAAAAGGCACAAAGTGGATGGTTGGATCAGAAAACAAAACCCAACTTTCTGTTGTTTCCAAGAGACCCATCTGAGCTCTAAAGAAACACAGGTTCATAAAAAAATGATCCTACAAGCAAACAAATGGACCCAAAAAGGGCAAGGCAGCCATATTTACATCAGATTAAAAACAACTTCCAGTGAAAAAAGGTACAAGAGACAGGATGAACATTACACAACGATTTAGAGATCAATACATTAGGAAGCTTAACACCAATATACATCACCAAATGAAGTAGCACCAAAATATATAAAACAACCATTAGCAAACCTAAAAAAAAAAAACAGTGGTCACAAGACAATAGTGGCAGAGGACATCAATATCCGACTTTCATCAATGGATAGCCAGCCATAAAGAAAATCAACAAATAGCCTTAAATGAAGAATAGACCAGAAGAACCTATATTAGACATTTATAAGGTACTATACCCTCAAAAAGTTGAGTACACACTCTTCTCAAGCACACATGGAACATTTTCCAGGATAGACCACACATTAGGTCACAAAACAAGTTTGTCAATAAATCCATTAAGACTGAAATTATATCAAGTGTCTTCTCTTATCACAACATAGTAACTGGAAATCAACCACAACGAGAAAACAATAAAATACTCTAATAGGTGGAAATTAAACAACACACTACTGAATGAGATAATCAAAGAAGAAATGTAAAAATACCTGGAGACAAATGAAAATAAAGATGCAACCTACCAGAGCCTATGGGACACAAGCAAAAGCAGTGTTAACAGGAAGTATACAGCAATACAGGCCTACATCAAGAAACAAGACAGATCTCAAATAACAACATTACACCTTAAGGATCTACAAAAAGAACCAATGAAACCAAAAGCCAGTAAAAGGAAGTAATAAAAATGAGAGAACTAAATGAAATAGAAATCAAAAGATTCAATGAAACCAGAAGTTGATTCTTAGAAGAAACACTAAGAAAAAGAGAGGAATCTAATAAATAAGGAACAAAAGAAAGATTACAACAGAGACCTTAGAAATACAGAGAATCATAAAGAGACTACTATGACTATCTTTAAGCCATAGGCTGGAAAATATGGAAGAAATGACACAAATTCTTAGAAGCATACACCCTTCCAAGACTGATTCAGGAAGAAATAGAAAACCTGGACAGATTGTAAGCGAGAACACTGAAATAGTAATCAAAAGCTCATAAAAAATAAAAGTTCAGAACCAGATGGTTTTACTACCAAACATTCAAAGAGGAAATAATTCCTAGCCTTCTCAAACTCTTCCAAAAACCTGAAGAAGAGGGAATGCTTCCAAGCACATTTTATGAGGCCATCTTTACCCTGAAACCAAAAACCAGACAAAGACATCACAAAAAAAAGAAAACTACATGTCAAAATGTCTGATGAACACAGATGCATAAATCCTCAACAAAATCTTAGCAAACCAAATTCAATAATACATTAACAGGATCATACATCATAATCAAGTGGGATTTATTCCAGGGATGCAACTATGGTTCAACACATGCAAATCATTCAATGCAATTCAACAAACAGAATCATAAGATTGTATCAATAGATGCAGAGGTGTTTGACAAAATTCTGCATCCATTCAGAAAAAGTCTTAGTAAAATGGGGATAAAGGAACATACTTCAACATATCTAAGGCCATACTTGCCAAATCCACAACTAGCATCATCAGGTACATGAGAAGGATGTCTACTCTCACCACTGCTGTTCAACATAGTATTGGAAGTTCTAGTTAGAGCAATTAGGCAAGAGAAAGCTATGAAAGGAATCCAAATTGAAAAAGAAGGAAAACTATCCTTTGCAGAAATGCAAATCAAAACCATGACATACACCACATTCCTGTGAGAACGGTAAACCCCCCCTCAAAAAAAAAAAAAAAAACAGAAAACAGAAATAACAAATGTTGGCAAGGTTACGGAGAAAAAAGAAACTTCATTCAATATTGGTAGGAATGTAAAATGGTCCTGCCCCTGTGGAAAAAATAGTATGGAGGCTTCTCAAAATATTAAAAACAGATACTTCACTCCCAGGTATCTAGCCAAACAATAGAAAACCACTAATTTGAAGGAATATAAGAGCTCCCATGTCCAGCATGGGAGCAATATTTACAATAGACAAGTTATAGAAACAATCTAAGTGTCTTGACGACAAAGCACTAGATTAAGAGGATGTGTGTGTGTGTGTGTGTGTGTGTGTATGATGGACTACTACTCAGCTATAAAAAAACATGAACTCTTGCAATTTGTGATAATGTGAATGGGACTGGAGGGGACACTAAGTGAAATAAATCAGAAGGCGAAAAGACAAATATGACAATTTCAGTCATGTGGAATATAAAGGGGGAAAAAAGGAATTGATAAAACAAAACCAAAACCACCTTAGAAATATGACTACAGAATTTAGGTTATTAGAAACGGAGGAAAGGCAGGGATGAGGACAAAGAGGAGAGGGGAGTCAACAGGTGAAAGGAATATGGATGCTTGGATATTGGGGGTCGTGTGGTAACATATATTTCAGGTGTGAACCTATTCCTCTAAATTATATACAGCTTTGTAAATCAATGCTAACACAATGAATAAAAATAAACCAACCAAAACACAAAATTTTGCGAACAAATAGGTCCATACAACGCCAGGAACAAGTTTAGACAGGAGTTAGACAGGTAGTAGGTAGGTAGGTAGGTAAACAGAAAGAATTAGATGGACAGAGATAGATACGAAATAATAACAAGACAAAACCACCCACATTCCGGTGAGATTTATGACATCTTTAAACAATTAAAACTGGCTCCAGGGAATTTACAGTTTCAAATACTAGAAAGTGACTGTTAACATAATCTCAAATAAAAGAAGCATTCAACAAACAAGAAAACTAACAATAAAGAAGAGACAAAAATTTAAAGCAACATGAAAACCACAAAGAATTGATAAAACCCAAAGTTACTTCTTTTAAAAGACAAAGCATAAAGTCCAGAGACTTAACTACAAAACAAAGGGAGAAATATAGTTATAAAGTAGCTAAGTGAACTAACTCACTACGGTAAGTGGTGGTGAGCAATGAATATCAATGGTCAATTCTTAAACCAAGCCTTCCTCATGAGTTTTCAATCTTGCCAATTTAACACTTCACTGTACAATACTGATAGTGTAGTTTGAAAAGCTTACACTGAGCAACAGTATTTTTTTTTTTGGTAGATAACTCTCTCCACTATACGACGATATTGTTAACTTATCCTGACTTCAGGCTACTTAATAGATTAAAACAAAAATAAGGCACTTCACAGCTGTGAAGCTATGAATTCCAACTTATCTTCAGATATTTTGTAAATGACAGGAACTCTAAAACAACTGTAAATATGTCAGAGGGAAGAACACCATTTTTTATTAATCATATAAAATTTATTCCACAAATCAAACATTTTATACAAGGAACAATCTAGAGCCTCCCTGGTGGCGCAGGACGTTGAGAGCTGCACTGTGAAGCTGTCTGCAGCCTCTGCAGCGCAGGTTCGATTCCAGCCAGCCGGAGAGACTCCCACATGGCAAAGCAGACCTCTCCTGTCTCGCCCACTGCTCCCCTCAGCAGTGTATTTAAGTACATCTGCCTGTTCTGCTCCCTGCTCTGTGTCTGGTGAATCCTCTCATCCTCCCGCACATCTGGTCTGTACCCCGATTCTTGTATAAAATAAATAGATCTTAAAAAAAAATCTAAGTGGGGCTAAAATCAAATATATTGGGTTGTCGGAAAAGTCATGACTTTTTTTTTTTTGTTTTACAAGCAAAAAATGCATCATGAATTTTCTGACAACCCAATTTCATATTATCAAAATGAGAAAATATGTGCCAATAAACATAAAATAGTCAAGGAAATGATTTTTCTAAAAATGATGCCAAAGTGGATTAATAGAAATAACACTAGAAAAGACAGGAAAGCTAACCAATTGTAAAATTAGCACAATCTTATAGTAAAATCCAATAAAAAGACACTACAAAAAAAGAAAATTATAAAATCACCTGCTTTAAATAAACAGATGCAGGGCCTCCCTGGTGGCGCAAGGGGGTAAGCACCACAGTATGACACAATCCACAGCCTCTGCAGCACAAGTTCGATCCCCAGCCGGCCAGAGAGAAACCCACATGGCGCAGCAGACCTCTCCTGACTCACCTGGTACTCCCCTCAGCAGTGTATTTCAGTAGACCCTCCTGTTCTGTTCCCTACTCTGTCTCATGAATCCTCCACCCACCCCGCCATCTCATGTGCATAAATAAATAAATCTTAAAAAAAAAAAGATGCACTGATTTTGGGAAATCAACAAATCAAATCTAAAGTATAAGAGAAAAAATGTACCATAATTAAGGTTAGTTACTCAAAAACTAGAAAGATATTCCTGGCTCAACTTGACTTACACTGATTTCAAAGAAAATTCCTATGACTATATTAATAAATGTCAAAAATAGAAAAATATGAGACCTTCCTAACAAAAGTTACAACACTGTCAAAAAGGATTATTGTTTTCAGTTGTGCTTAACTCTAGATCATTAAAATCTCTTTCTTATCTTACCTTTAGAACCAAAAGCAAAATCCCCAGAATTACTGGAAGCCAAGTCTGCAAATGACAGCCCTGTGCTACTTCCAAATCCAAATGAAACAGCTTTGCTTTCTACTGGCAAAAGGAAAGGAGTAATTTAGTATCTCATTTAACGCATAATGAACATAAAAGCTTTACGCGGTACCCAAAGAGAATGGGGGTAGGACTCTCCACAGAGAGGGTTGGAAATCAATCATGGAATATTCTGGTTATTTCTCTGAAGAAAGTTACAAAGTATATCAAATTCTAAGCTTCTTCAGTATTATGTTTACAGGATTGTTCTCAATGATGAACATTACACCAAAAGCATGCCAAAACTCATTTTTGAAAAATGAAACGTGGGGCTAGAAAATCAGGTATACAGTTATAGTTACTGCCTAATATCACCTTTATAATTTAAAACATTAATTCAAAGGCACAATTTTAGGAAATATCTGCATAAAGACTTGTTTCATTTTTCATAAATAAAAAGCTCATATAAACTCAACAATTTATTTGGTCATCAGGAGTCTGGGGCTCTTAATTCGACCCTTGTATAGTTACATCAGCTCTTAAAATCCTATACTTTACGTTCTTCATGTGAAAACATACATAAATTTATGTCTGAAGTTATCTTCCTCTCTTAGGACTCTAAGATGCCTATAAACATAACATTTGTGGTTTATTCAGTACTACTGCTAGAAAAAATATAGACACTGTACAAATAAAAATCAGAATTATTCAAATAATTACCCTGCTCCTAAAATAAACTGAAGTAAAAAAACAAGGGGGACTGCATAACAAATACAGTTACTGTAACTGAACACTTGCATTAATGAATCAGGTAGAGAAAAGGCATTTAAGTGATATAAAAATTTAACACCCTTATTGTAATAGTTACATATTATAATAACATCTACAATCACTTAACATATACTTAACTTTAAAAAGTGATATACAAATGAAATACTATCACTAAAAAAATTCCATGTAAGCAAACTATTGTCATTTATTCTCAGCTAAATAGGGAAGAACAAAGTGTTGTGATCTAATAACAATAAAAGCACACATTATCTTTGTTGAGAAACAGTATGATTCTGATTATTTCAAAATCTTATGCCCCTTTATATATCTCAAACTTAAAGAAAGGGAGTTTTTAGGATTTACATTTAGAAGTTCAGCTTCTCAAACACAGGGTTTACCTTATGCAACATATAAGGTTTTATAAGCATATTATCAAATTTCACCTTGGCTTGTAGGATCTGCTTCATTTTCCTTTCTAGTAGACAAATCTACAGGTTTGTCCAAAGTTCCAGAAGAAATAGGTGGTGAACTAACAGACTTGATCTTAAAATCAGATTCTTCAGATTTACATAAAAATGGGACGGTCACATTACTTCCATCTGTACACACACTGTTAGTTGTGCTAGTTATTTCCTCGTTCTGGGATTTCTGCAAAAAGAAAGTAATCACATGCCATTAAAACGGCTGACAAAAAAGATTATATATCCCTACTGAAAAAAAATTGAGAACTTGGAGTTCTAGACAAAACATTAGCAAACTTCACCTTTTTCCTCCCTTTTTCACTCTACCCTCTCTCCCCCAATACTTAACAACAAAATCACTGAAACAGATAAAACAATGTTAAAGCCTCTGTAAGGTGGATGAGAGCAGGAGGATTAAGAATCTCAAGACCTGAGTGATAACCAGATGATTTATTTCAGCCACAACCCACCACTCCAGACCAGCTTGGGGCTATAGAGCAACCAAAAAACCTGAAGCAATTAATACCACAAATGGATTAAGTCCCAAGAAAACCCAACTCACTCTGGCCTGGGGAGTGGGGATGTCATGAAATGATCCAAGTGTTGAATAACCACAAAAACACTATATGGAAACTATTGTAATAATACTCCCAGAGATAAGGACAAATACTCTTAAAACAAATGACAACATACAAGTTATCAACAAAAAAAAAAAATAGAAGCCATAAAAAAAATCAAATGGAAATTTTACAAATGAAAAATACAGTAACAAATGAAAACTTTTTATTAAATGTGTCATCCAATAACAGGATACATAATCCTTTCAGGCTCACAAAAAACATTTATCAGAACAGACCACCACATTCTAGGCCCTAAAACACACCTCAACAATTCAGAAGAAGAGAAGTTGCCCAAAAATACTTTCAGTCCACAATGGAATTAAACTAGAAATCATTAATACACCTGAAAACATTTATATACCTGTAAACTAGAAATCTGAAATATACCTGAAAAAAATCTCCAAATATTTGGAGATTAAGCAACATGTTTTAAAATAACACAAATAACAAAACACTCTGAGACAAAAATAATTTGGATTAAATAAAAATGAAACAAGAGGGCCTCCCCGGTGGCGCAGCGGTTGAGCGCTGGGTTGCGAAGCTGCCTGCAGCCTCTGCAGCGCCGGTTCAATCCCCGGCCACTGGTGAGGGTCCCCATGGCGCTCAGATCTCTCCTGCTGCCCGCTGCTCCCCTCAGCAGTGTACTTGGTCAGTCTGCCTGTCCTGTTCCCCACTCTGGCTCTGGTGAATTCTCTCGCCCTACCGCGCTTCTGACTGTACCTAGTGCTTGTATAAATAAATAAATCTTTAAAAAAAAAAAAAATGAAACAAGAGGGGCTCCCTGGTGGCGCAAGAGGTTAAGCACTGCACCGTGAAGTAATCCGCAGTCTCTGCAGCACAAGCTCGATCCCCAGCCAGCCAGGGAGCAACCTACATGGCAAAGCAGACCTCTCCTGTCTCACCCACTGCTCCCCTCAGCAGTGTATTTCAGTCAGCCTGTTCTGTTCCCTGCTCTGTCTCTGGTGAATCCTCTCACCCACCCATATCTCTGGCCTGTACCCAGCTCTTGCATGCATAAATAAATAAATCTTTAAAAAAAAAAAAAAAGAAACAAGAACAAATTAAAAACAAACCCTAGAAATCGGACTGTAAAATTGCAGCTACCAGGGCCTCCCTGGTGGCACAGGGATTAAAGTCTCAGCACTATCAAGCAATATATATATAAATATATGTGTGTGTATGTATATACATATATGTATAAGTGCATACACACACACACACACACACACGTACAAAGCATGAGTTTGATCCCTGGCCAGGGAGCTGACCCATATGGCACAAAAGACCTCTCCTATGTCGCCCGCTGCTCCCCTCGGTGGCGTATTTCAATAGATCTGCCTATTCTGCTCCCCACTCGGTGACTCCTCTCACACACACCCCCGCCCCACTGCACCTCTGGTGTAGACCTGTTCTTATATGCATAAATAGATCTTAAAAAAAAATATGAAGCTGCCAGAGGACAAAGCTGAACTGTAAAGGGAAAAGAGTGTTCAACAGACAATGAAGAACTGTAAAGTGCTTTGGTGGTAGGTGTGGTGTGGTGTGGTGTGCGGTATGATAACATACATCTAAAGAGGTGTGAACCTATACCTCTGAGTATACAGTGATGTAAATCAAGGTTATCACAATAAAATAAACAAAACTACATCTCATCAAGATTTTACTGCAGTAAAGGCAAGAAAGCAGGCCTTCACAATATTGAATACACATCATAAAAAGATAATAAATTTTCACCTTAAGAAACTAAAGAGCAATATAAACCTAAAGCTAGGAGAGAAATAATGAAAATGCAGAAATCAATAAAACAAGAAAATAAAAGTATAAGCTGATTATTTAAAGGTCAATAAAATTAATAAACATTAGCCGGGGTAACCAAGAAAAAAAGGATGACACAAATTACTACATCAGAAATGAAATAGGAACTATCACCGTTAATCCATGGAACATGAAAAGTATTAATTTTAATGAACTTTGTAGTTTCATGAATAACATTATACCCACAAATTTAATAACAGATAAAATGAACCAATTCTATGAAAGTTACAACCAACCAAAACTCACACAACAAATAGATACATATAGTTTAAAAAAAAAAAAAAACACCAAATTAATATCCTTCCCAAAACATACAAAAGACCACATAATATGTTTTTTTCTTTAAATAGGAAATAACCAGAATAGGGAAATCCACAGAGACAGAAAGTATGTTACTGGTTCTAGGACTAGAGGAATCGGATAGAAATGGGAGTGGTGACTACTAGAGGTACAGGGCTTCTTTTAGGCGTAAGGAAAATCTTTTAAACAGGATTATGGTGATGACTGCATAACCAGGTGAATATACTAAAAACCAATGAACTGTACTTTAAAATGAGTGAACTGTACAGTTTGTGAATCATAGCACAAGTATTATCCAAAAAATATAGGTTAATTACTTGGGGGGGTTCCTAACACATCCTCACCCTTAAAGTAATATGGAAAACTTCATGCAGACAAATCAAATTCTTTGTTTCTTTCAGTAACAGCACCCCAATCCTCAGCACAGGACTATTTCATAGTAAATAAATACTATAAATACAACACATAAATGCTGCATTTAATACAAAGGATAAATATCTGAAGATACTCTGCAAAACTGAAGATCAATTAGATTGAGTGTAAAAATAGGAAGAATGCATTCTAAGAGGATGTAAATCTACGTCAATTATAACATATTTTAGTTTTACTGGTTCTTAGTTCTCTGTCTCCTCTCTATATATCAAAGGGTACTTAACTCCAAAATTACAATTTATTTATTTTTTTTTTAAGATTTATTTATCAGAAGTGCAGGAGGGTGAGAGAATTCACCAGAGCCAGAGCGGAGAGCAAAGCAGAGCAGGCAGACTGACAAAGTACACTGCTGAGGGGAGCAGAGGGCTGCAGGAGAGGTCTGAGTGCTATGTGGGACCCTCACCCGGTGGCCAGGGATCGAACCAGTGCCGCAGAGGCTGCGGGCAGCTTCACAACCCAGCGCTCAACCACTGCGCCACTGGGGAGGCCCAAAATTCAAATTTATTGTGGCGGCATTTTTTTTCAACCTTTATAGTGCTTCGTCACATTGAACGTCTCTACCAAAGGTATTCTTCAACAGTCCCCTAAAACTGTTATTTAATAAACGTGATAGTACAGGTTATTTCACAAAAAATTTAAGTTATAGCAATGGTGAATGTTTTAAAACAACACAACAGTCACCTCAAATAAGATACTTTAACACCTCTAAATATGGTTTACAAAATACTGACAAGTCCTTGTGTATCAGTTTCTAAAGTGGCACCACAAGGTGGGAAAAGAATAAATGATGTGCAATTCATTCTGCAGATCAGTGTTAAAATTATTTTTTTAATCCCACAAGAAGCCACAGTGTTATTAATGATAGAAACCGTACAAATTTAAAACTAAGCTGCAGTCACTCTTTTGAGACACAAAAGGGCAAAAGAAAAAGTCCTCTTTTCAGACTGTTTCACTATTAATTCCTTACTAGCATTTACAGTATCATTACTGCTGTTCTTTAGGGCTCCTACTGCCTTTGCTCTCAACACATTTGCTTGTGACATGACCAATTCTATGTCCTTAACTTCCACAGATAATTTCATCAACCTCTTCACTTCACTCCCTCTTCTACAGTTGGAATCTGTGTTTTTTGAAATATCTAAGACAGTTTCACCTTGAACTTTGAATTTTTCAGCAGCTGCCAGCTGACATAAATCATCAATCTTTGCTTCCCCTAAAACTATGTAGATATCAGAAGCTGAGCTTTTGATCTAGTTTTGGAATGACAAAGAGAATACTTTCAGATTTCCAGATAGTGACTCTAGTAACCCTTGTAAAGGTCAAAGACCCAGTTTGGACACAGCCTTCTTTTCACTCTGGCTCTACTTTGCATTACCGGTGGGCTCTTCATCAATTTCAGCTGCTGCTGCCAGCAAAGCTTGTTGTGTGGCTGCCTGTGTGGAATCCTGTTCCTCAAGTACATGTACTGATTCAATACTGTCAAGATTCTGTTCCAAAACCTGTCTCAGCCCGGGGCTGTGGCAACTCCTGCTCTGTAGGAGGGAAGGTTTCCATGGTTTCACTAGTCATTTTGTGAAGGGAACTCACAAACAACATGGTGGCAAGAATAAGAGCAAGCCATGTTGAAATTATTTAAAGGCAATTTTTTCTGTTTTAAAATTATTCATTTTAGGGCCTCCCCCGTGGCGCAGTGGTTGAGCGCTGGGTTAGCAAAGCTGCCCGCAGCCTCTGCAGCGCCGGTTCGATCCCTGGCTGCTCCCTGGCCACAGGAGGAGGATCCCACATGGCGTGCAGACCTCTCCTGCCGCCCGCTGCTCCCCTCAGCAGTGTACTTCAGTCCTTCTGCCTGCTCTGCTCCCCGCTCTAGCTCTGGTGAATCCTCTCACCCTCCCGCGCTTCTGACTGTACCCAGTGCTTGTATAAATAAATAAATCTTTTAAAAAAAAAAAAAGAATCTTTAAAAAAATAAATAAAATTATTCATTTTAATTAAGTTGTAATTCTTCAGCTTTAAACAGAAAAAAAAATACAACCATATTTAAACTTCATTGATTCAACTTGCATGATTCAAATTTACATTAAAGAAGCCCCCCTTATTCCTGGGGAATACATTCTAAGAGCAAAGTGAGTGTGTCAAACCATAAATAGTACCTATCTCACTAAACAGATACGAAACAGGGGCAGTAGGATGATGGGATACCAGGATAGGCCAGAATGGCAAACCTTTACCACAGAGATAAACCTTTTCTGACAGAAAGATGCCTAGGTCATTTGCTAGCCACAACCCATTTGTTAAGAACATTCTAGTTTATTCTATCAACAGAGAATTGAAGCAAAAGGAAAACAATTGAGATGTTCTTACTTGAGCTTCCTGAACTTTTTGAAGCTCTGACTGAAAGTCTTCCCCATTTCCGTTGTCTTCATCAGTATCACTGGAGACTCCACAAAAAAATGTAGGCGGAAGCTTTAATATATCTGCTTTTGCCTTCTCTTCAACTGTTGGTTTCTTTTCCCAAACAATAACACATTCTTTCTCATTATCTGAAAATCCCGTACAATACAAACAAAAGATAGTTAATAGTAGATAAAATCCACATACTCTACAATAATAATCCTTAATGAAAACTACAGACTATATAACGAGACTTAATGAATGCTAACAGAAACAAGTATTACCAAGAAAAGTTTTCCACTTATTATTTTTTTTAAAAGATTTATTTATTATACAAGAACCGGGGTATAGGCCAGATGCACGGGAGGGTGAGAGGATTCACCAGAGACAGAGTGGGGAACAGAACAGGCAGAATGACGAAATACACTGCTGAGGGGAGCAGAAGGCGAGACAGGAGAGGTCTGCTGCGCCATGAGGGATCCTCGCCGGATGGCTGGGATTGAACAGGTGCTGCAGAGGCTGCAGACAGCTTCATAGCACTGCGCTCAACCACCTGCACCACCAGGGGAGGCCCCTCATTATTATTTTTAATAATTAACCACAAGTGTATTATGTAGGTAATACTGATAACAGAAATGATCAGGAGATTCCTTATTGAAACAATTTTTAAAAAACATTGTAATTAGTGATTGTAATTTACCATACCTGCCAGATTTTCTTCTAAGGATCTACACTTTTCTGAATCCTGCAGATATAATTTTCCATTAAGTTTCTTGACAGCTGTTTCAAAATCTTCATCTTAAAGAATAATTGATTATATTAGATAAAGAAATTTCTAATGTCAGTTTCCCTAGCTAGAAAACTAGGAATCATCTCATTTTCCATTACCCTCCACACATCTAAACAACCACCAATTTTGCCAATTTGATACATTTAATGCCTCCTCTACTTTTAGAACTTTTGTTAAAGTTCTCGTTTATGATGCTCTATCATTTTGGCCCCTCTTCCTGTCTCCCATCATGTCTCACAATCCAACTCTCTCTACCGCTTCTCAATTGGTTCTACTGAAACTTTCCTGAGCATGAACTCCCATGCTTAAAAACTATGATATTACAAAGGCTTCCAAAATTATACCCCTGTCTGCTTCTCCCATTTCTCTAAGACTCCAGGAAACTTTCAATTCAATTCCCTTAAAATTCCTGTCATGGTAGCCTTCAAAAAAATCCTTAATAAATGAAAGCAGTTCTATTATTATATTCACTGGCTATTCCCAAATAGATTTAAGCTATTTTTACCATATCTATGGCAAGGAGAGCAGTGATGAGATCTAAGAGGCAGGCTTACAAGAATTTAACCATACTCCCAATTAGTAAGATTATCACAAACACAATGCTTTTAAAATCACAAAAGATTTACCATCCTCCTCATCTTCGCTAACATAATCTGGTCTATTCTTATAGCAGAAGAAAGTTGGAGGGAGTTTAAGTTTGCTTGCAAGAGCTTTTTGCTCAGGCGTTGGGATTAGCTCGTATACAATGAGTACGTCGTCATCTGAGGATGTATCTTCATGTTTTTTCTCCACTTTTGCTACAACACAAGTAAAAAAATAAAAACAAGTGTTAAATAAAAACTACAATATTTTAACAGAAAATATAAAGCATGGAACCTACACTTAGGTTAAAATAGCATACTAATAAAAATATACACTAATGTAAACAGAGCTCTTTAACATTAATTAGAATTATAAAACTTGTTTAATGTTCTATCAAAAAGCCTTATTGAACACAGAAACTATTTTTTATTTTTTTTAAAGGTTTATTTTTACTCATTTATGCATACAAGAACTGGGGTGCAGGTCAGAGGGGCAGAAGGTGAGAGGATTCACCACAGCCAGAGTGAGGAAAACAGGCGGATCCACTGAAATACACTGCTGAGGGAAGCAGCGGGAGAGACAGGAGGTCTGCTGTGTCATGTGGGTTAGCTCCCTGGCCAGGGATTAAACTCATGCCACAGTGGCTAGCAATAGCTTGATAGTGCTGAGACTAGAATCCCTGCACAACCAGGGAGTCCCTGACACAGAAACTATTAAAAACAAATAAACCATGCTTTTGCTTACTGATAATTGAAAATATTATTAATGGATATAATTTAAAATGTCCCACCATAACCGTATTTGGCATACTTAACAATAACTTAGCAAAATACCCATGCATTTGCAATAACCGGGAGGAAAAAAACTTAAAAAGAATAAGCAAAAATTAGTATATATATGAAAATAATGCAAAGCCAACCTTGATTAGTTCTTACAAGGAATTAACAATTTCCAAGGATGGCAAGTGATTAGAGTTACATCCAGTTCTGCATATTTGCAAGCATAATAGATAAAAGAAAAGAAAAACCATTATCCTATGGGTAAGTAATAATACAGGAATCTAAGGCACTTTCTAAGGTTAAGAAATCAGCAACAAAAAAAGGCTACAATATGTAGAGAAAAGATATTCTTCATATAACCTGCTTTGGTCTATAACAAGAATTTCTGGCTAAGGAACTGATGAAGTAGAGCAAATCATGAAGCATGTTAAGTACCAACTAGTGCTATCCAATATGACAAATTAGCCATATTGAAGAGCTTTCAAGCACCTGAAATAGGATTAGTACAAAATGAAATCTGCTGAAGTATAAAAATACAAACTGGATTTTAAAGACTTGATTTTACCACCACCACCAAAAAAAAATCTCATTTCAGACTTAATGGTTCAAACTGAATAATTATTAAAGTTTATTTAATGCTTCTCTTTTTGCTCTTTTTAAAATGTAGCTACTAGAAAATTTTAATTTACATGAGTACAGGTCATATTTTATTTCTACTAGCCTTTTTACAATGTTAAACTTGCAGTTCACTCTTAGTTATCAAGTCCTAGCCAAGGACAGTTTAAAAAAAAAAAAAAAACACAACTGAAAGATGATTCTTGTGTCACTTCCCCTATTAGTTGGTAAAGAAAATTTGGGCATATCAGGGTGTCAGTTTCCTAATGTCTCAAGTTTTCATCTCTAACTGCTTTGGGACTATTAACATTCTGAGCCTTGAAAGAAGGCTCCCTCGTCTTAGACCAGGGAGTTGTATGTGCAGCCCACAGAGTCTTTGTATAAGTATGTATCCTTTATAGAAAAGTCCACACTTTTCCTATAATTTCTTAGAAAATGAATCTTTAAGAACAAAAAGTTATTTTAGTTTATTGGACTTTGCTCTTAAAGGCCTTTTAAGTTTCCACTTCCTATTATTCCAATCCACTATCAACAACTGTTTTGTAAATGATTTGCAATACCTAAATTACATACCAGGTATAAAATTGTGGCGTTAATAATGGGGTGTAACATTCAAATACAATATTGTTCTAAGCCATGTCAAAAGGGATAGCCCTAAAGGGAGACTCTATTCTATGATCTATAGAAGCTGCTGCGAAGGCACATGTTGGGATATGTAGCAGCTAAAGATAATGGCTAAATAAAATACAGGTCTTCAGTAAGCAGAGCAGAAAAAAATGGTAATGAAGTACATTGCTGAGCAAGGTAAAGATGACAGGGATCTACCCCCAAATAACGATGTACAATAGTGATAAAACATGACATCCAAGAACATTAAAAAAAGAAAAAAAGAAAAAAACAGCATTAAAAGGTGTTATACCACCAGTAAAAAGGTACTTGCTTAAACTGACATTGTTTAACATGCACATGTAGTGTTAAGTACTTAATTACATACAGCCAGTTACTTTGCTAAGGACTACCAACTGCCAAGAAACTAGTCATCTCACACTGAGAATGCTAGCTATACCTGTGTTCTCAGGCTGTGAGGAAGGGGTGCTGGTCCAAAAAGCCATTGGGTTAGATTTAAAAAGGCTAAAATTAAATCCTAGAAAATAAAGAGTATTTCATTTTTCAACATTTGAGAATCAAAGTAAAAATGATTTTATAATATAAAAAGCCAGAATCCCTCAATTTATACCTATTTGGCTATACTCATTTATACTGGTGGTTTTATTCTTTGCTCATTTAATAAATAATGGCAAGACTACCTAACATAAACTATCAACAACTCAGTACCATTATCTTTTCATTAACAAAAAAAATTAATTCAAGAATGAACACTAAAAAACCATGAGTTCATTTAGCTCATGATTCAAGTACACAAGTCACTAAACTCCCTTATTGGGTTCTTATTCTCTGTTCTAAGCATGACACAGATATCTTCCAGTCACTGAATCTCCAAAATAAACTTACACACATAATCTCTGTTGCTGTGTGAACACTAATAGGTAAGCTGATTTAGGGAGAAAAAAATAGGTTTTTCTCTGCTGTTCAAAAAGCACTGTGTTTATGACCCAACTATTACTAAGACATTAGTATCCTACAAAATGTATGTATAAAGATAGCATTAAAAGAATAGAAAAAGACTGATCTAAAATGCTTACCCTTTTCTGGTGTTTTAAATGTATAATTAGTTGAGGACTCCTCTTTCGGAAAAGCAGCAAAAAGATGTCTGATTTTACCATCTGAAGATTGTTTGATATCAGAGTTCTTTGACTGTTCGTAATTATTCAGTTCCACTTTTCTTTCAGATCCACTCTGGACTACTGAACTAGGTGCATTAAAACTAAATCCAAACAAAGATCCAGTAGCTGAACTGTTGCCAAATGCAAATGGCTTTGATTTTTCACTACTAAAAATGCTTTTAACAGATTCTGAACCAAATACAAACTTTGGAGGAGAAACCACTGCTTTTGTTGATGTTTCAGATGTGCCAGACACTTCAATTTCTGATGCCGCATCTGCTACAATGTCACTCGGAATTAAATCTGTCCTCTCTCTTGTAGTTTCTTCCAATACAGCTACAGCAATTTTGCCACATGGTGACTCTCTGGGAGTGGTTGAATGAGAAACATGAGGTGTTACCAAAGAATCTTTTTCTTGAGCTATTTTTGCTTCATCAAATATTTTCTTAAATGAGTCTGCAACATCTTGTAGTTTGAAACGAACAGCTAAATGTTCTACTTTTCTTTCTCCATCTGCAAAGTCACATGCTGTCCACACCCACACTCTTTCTGTTCCTTTCATATTTTGCAAAGTCATGTCTGGAGTTATTCTGTGATTGGCACAAAGTTTTAATACCTGGTCCCTTCTCATTACTATGCGAACTTGCTTATTATCATAATTCTGTAAAATCTTTATATCACCAATGCCCCTTTCCTTCCACTGACCAACATCTTTATCATATCTATAGAGTTTTGCTCTGTGACTAAAAACAACTTGTTCATTTTCTTCACCACTGGACACTTCAATCAGATCAGGTAAAGGTACAACAGGTTCAAAATACTGTCCATCTCTCTCTTCCTCTTGAGTGACATCAGATTCTTCATCAGTGCCAACTGAGGTCCCACTCTGATTCAACTTGGCAGGAGATTTAGATGGACTCAAAGCAGATTTAAAACTGAAGTTAAATCCTGTTGTTGACTCACCAAAGCGGAAGAGATTTTTCCTCACAGGGCTATTTGCCAATGGAGAAGCATGTACTGAGCTACTACTTACACTATCATCCAAAGCATCTTCCCTTAAGTCATAGTTATCCCACTCTAATGTGGGTCCCGTGTTTTCAGGATTTGGTTTGGTGGATATGTCTAAAGCACTTGTACCTGAACTCTTACTGTCTTCATCAGTTACTTTTGTTTGATCATTTGTCAAAAACGTTTTAAAGTCTTTTAGTCCACTCTTCATTTCCTCAGCTCTCTGTATTAACTTGGCAGCTCTACCAGTATCTACAAGTTTATGGGGCGTTTGAAGTGGTATATCTAACAGAAGTCGCTGGCATTCCTCAAACTTCTGCTTGAACTCTTCAGCAAGCTCTGGTGTTTTAAATTTTGCTGCTAACTGCTCTAGCTTGGCATCACCATCGGAAAAATCACTAGCTAACCACATCCATGCTCTATCTGATCCAGAGAGAGGCTTCAGGTTCATTGTAGTTGTTATCCAATGATTAGCACATACTTTTAGTACCTGTTCTCTTCGCATTAGCATTCTTAGTTTGCCATTGACTTCATTTTTGAGAATTTTTAAGTTTCCCAAACCTCTTTCTTTCCACTGGCTTATCTCAGCATCAAATCTAAATAATTTTACCCGCTGTGAATAAAGAACTTTTTCATCTTCTTCTCCTGTTACAAGTTCCACTTTTTCAGGCATCTGAACTACTGGCTCAAAATGGATGTCATCACTATCCTCAGTCTTATAGGCATCATCGTCTTTCTCCAGGTCAGCAGATGTGTCAGCTTTACCAGGCATTTTACCACTTTGTGATGAGAATAATTTTTCTCCAGCACCTGAAAATCCCTTGAAATTAGGGTCTTTTTTGCCAAACTGAAACCCTTCTCCTGAAGTTGATTTTGCAAGATCTGCAAAGGTAAAAGTGCTACCAGTCTGACCAAAAAACACACCACTACCATTCCTCTGATTATTAACATCCTGAGCCTGAAAGCCAGTATCATTTTCAATATTTTCATTCTTCTCTTGATTTCCCAGCTCCTGAATGCCAAATTTAAGTCCATCAGCAGACATAGGGATAGAAAAGCTAAATCCTTCTTTTGTTGACTTAGAGTCTGTATTAGAAGAACCCTGAAATGTAAATGAAGGTATATTTTCTTGATCCACATGTCCAAATTTAAATCCTTGTTCTGTACTGCCAAATTTAAAAGATTTTTCAGAAAAGTTACTTTTAAATCCTGTTCCCACCTGATTTCCAGAAGAGTCATTTAACTTTGGTTTTGAGCCCAATGTGAAAGCTGAAGAAGCTTCAGTAATTGATTTATGAGTTGGTCTGGAAGCATCACAAGCCACACATTTTAAAGAAGAATTCTCATTTTGTACAAAACAAGTACTACAATCCCACTTTCCTTCCTTCTTGGTGAACACACCTTCAAATCCACTCTTGAGAGCCTTGCTTGTATCTGAAGAGCTATGTGCTGGAACAGAAGTAGGCTGGTTCTGTTTATTTGGATTCTCACAAGCAACACATTTGGTAGCATTTGCTTCATTTCGTACCAAGCACATAGTGCAATCCCACTGTCCTTCTTTCTTGGTGAAAAGTCCTTCAAATCCACTCTTTGGAGCCTTACTTGTATCTGAAGAGCCAGGTGCTGGAACAGAAGTGGGCTGGTTCTGTTTATTCGGATTCTCACAAGCAACACATTTGGTAGCATTTGCTTCATTTCGTACCAAGCACATAGTGCAATCCCACTGTCCTTCTTTCTTAGTGAAAAGTCCTTCAAATCCACTCTTTGTAGACTTGTTTGACTCTGAAGTACTAAACTTAAAAAAGGAAGGTGCTGGAACAGTAGTAGACAGATTTGGTTTAGCTGGATGCTGACAGGCAACACATTTTGTAGCATTTGCTTCATTTCTTACCAAACATTCACTGCAATCCCACTGTCCTTCCTTCTTAGCAAACATGTCCTCAAATCCATTCTTTGGGGTTTTATTGATCTCTGCAGTACCAAACTTAAAAGCAGCAGATGCTGAAGTAGAAGTAGTAGATAAACTCTGTTTTCTTTGATTCTGACAAGCAACACATTTTGTAGACGTTCCTTCATTTCGCACCAAGCACTCACTACAATCCCATTGTCCTTCCTTTATAGAATAAACAGATTTGAAATCACTGTTAACAGATTTAGGAAGATCTCCCTGGCCAAATTTAAAGGAAGTTTGCTGAACAAACAAAGATCCACTTTTGTTAGCAGTCTTTGTATTCTGGCATGCAAAACATCTAGATACAGTTGGTTCATTTCTTTCTAAACAAACGCTGCAATCCCAGTGACCTTCTTTCTTTGGCGACATCAATGCAAATCTATCTGGAGTGTTTTCTGACCCTGTTTTAAGAGTAGAAATAGTTTCAGATGATGATGGGCCAAGGAGTTCCTTACTGTTTGGGTTTAGATTTTGGCACGATACACATTTCTTAGCAGTTGCAGCATTCTTTAATGAACAGCTGTTACAATGCCACCAAGACCCCTCTTTCTTTACAACTTGAAATTCAAAATTCATGTTTCCTACATCAGGTTTGCAAATATCATTACTTTCATGACTTGTGGTTTCATTCACAATTCTCATAGTCTGACTTGTTACGGTTACATTTGCTCCTGAGGCTTTTAAAATGTTCTGGGCTTCTTCAAACTTGCACTTGAAAAGTGCTGCTTCTTCGGGAGTTTTGAATCTAATAGCAAGTTGTTCTGGTTTGGGCAACTCATCTGCATAATCAAGAGCATGCCACACAAAAGATCTGTCTGATCCAGCATTTGGTGTCAGTCTCATATCTGGATTGATATAATGATTTGCACAGATTTTCAATACTTGCTCCCGTCTCATTAGAAGGCGAATTTTACCAGATGTTTTATGCCTTAGTATTTTTACATTACCAATACCGCGTTCCTTCCATTCTTTGGATTCTGCATCAAAACGGAACAATTTTGCACGATTACAAAAGAATTCTTCTTCATCTTCCTCACCAGTTTTTACCTCAATCTTATCAGGAAGAGGCACTACAGGCTCAAAATGAGGGCCATCATCATCATCATCACCATGGGCACTTCCTCCATCTGTTTCATGACTCTTATTGGCCAGATCTGGAGCAGGTGTTCCAAATACTGACTTTCCTGGACTGTGAAAAGTAAGCATATCATCACTTCGAAGAAAACCAGAATTCTTTTGTTGATTTGAGCCCAAGTTTTCAGTAAATGAAATTCCAGACATATTTTTGCTTCCAAAGTTGAATGTATTTCGATGTACAATCGTCTGACCAGCTTTTGGGCCACTATAGCCATCTCCTTGCAAAGGTTTATCTGAAGTCAGGAGGCCTAAAAGACTTTCACTATTATTGTAAGTCGTAGAAGGAGGCTGTGTTACAACCTGTGGTGAGGAAAATGTGAAGTCACCATCATTTGATTTGAAGTTTGAGTTAAATTTAAAAGGAGCTGGCTGAGTTGTATGTGCAGGTGTTGTCAGAGATGGTCTTATTCCTTCACCTGGCACAGGTTGAACAAAATTAGTTTTTCCAAATTCTATAACCTTAGATTCTGCAGATCTTGACGCATGAGCTGCAACTGCCGGTTTTGTAAAATAACCTGGTTCTGGCAAAGGTGGGTTTGTGCTGGCCTGCTGAACATTGTAATTAAAGTAATCATCGCCCCTGGGTGACAGAATTCCTGTTGCAGGAGACTCGAAACGCAAGGGAGGACCATACATCTCTTGAGAGAACATGCAAGCAGATGAGCTTTGCACAGGTGGTGTGTGCATCTGTTGTGAATATGCATAAATATGCTGCTGAGGTGGAAGTCTATTCATTCCATAAACTGGACCCTAAAAGAAAAAAAAGTTTAAAATTTTGGTGGACTGTCTTCAAAACTACAGGTAAATTAGATATAAACTAAATCTCACAAATCTCAAACACGGGTATTGTAAGTAAAGATACAATTAGTACATCATTAACAGAAGACACCATTACTATAAAGACAGTTATAGTCCTTATTGGAGTATAATGAAAATTGCCTTTCACTAACCACAGCACCTAAAAATCTAATTCTCCTACAATAAATCCATAGAATATCTTCATCCCCAAACAATGTGTCAAATAATGCTAATAATAATGATGGTGATGATGAAGACTAATGTTTATTGAGCATTTACTAATGTGTCAACTGAGCACTGTTCTAAGCACCTTACTTACATGTTAACTCACTTTAATAAATTCAAAAACCCCATTAATTAAGGCATTCTCCTCATTTTACACATGAGGAAGCTAATGCACAGAGAGGTTAAGAATCTTGCCTTAGGTCACAGTAAAGCTTAAGAGTCAGGGTCCAAATGTACCCAAACCCTGTCTTCAAAGTTTTACATTTCACTACTATTGTAAACTGCATCTTAAGTGACAGATATATAGCCACTTCAGGTCTAGAAGTACTTACCACCTAGTGGTTCAGCAAGGACATTCTATTCTGCCAAAACAGAATGATGCAGGAACCACCACTACTACCACCCACCCCATTTAAAAGATTCTAAATCTTCACTTACTGTAACATAAAAATAAGATGCCTAAGAAGCATTATTTCTGTATCTAAAGAAAAATTTCAAATTTCTACACCTTGTGGGACATAAAAATTTTAATGGTGAACTACTTTTTTAATTTCTTTGAAGGAAGCCTGAACAATTAAAAAGGAGATATTTATAAATGTATAAATTATTCCTTTGTTACCTTTGTGGGAGTAACATTAGCTGCTGGTCTGAGAAGATACTGGGAATTATATGCTGGTGACTGACTATAATATACTGAAGGGCCAGTAGTTGCAACTAAAAAAAAAAAACAAAAAACAAAAAAAACAAAGAAAAGAAAACACTGTTAAAAAAAGTCTATACTACAATTTAGACTATCTAGGCAAGAACTATAAATACAAAAAGCAATAGAAATCAAAGAAAGATATTTAACTACATAGATTTTTAAATTTCTATACATCAAAATATACCATAAAGAAGATTATCATATGACAAGGTAGGAGAAACTGCTAAATATGACACATGAAAATAAGAGAGTAGCACCATGGTGGTCAACAAGAAGAGTCTCAAGCGTCAAAAAGGATCCAAGAAGAAAGCCAATCTTTTCTGAGAAAGATTGGTATGATGTAAAAGCACAGTTGTGTTCAACATCAGAAATACTGGAAATTACACTAGTCACAGGAAGGCTTTTGAAGGAAGCAAAACCTAATGATGGCTTTTTATTTTTGAAGTCTTGAAAATTTGAAGAATGACCAGGGTATACTTTATAGGCTCAAGCTGAGAATGTTCAGGACAAAAATCATCTGATGATTTCATGGAAAAGTTCTCACAAGTAACATAAAATGTGTTCCGTTGACTAAAAAACAGTGTACACATCATGACTGATGCTCACGTTGATGTACAAACTATTTGTTCCAACTATTTTTGTGTTTCACCAGGAAACCAAACCAAGAAGATACACATGCTGATGGTGAAACGACCAATAGCCATCTAATTGGTTTAATCAAAGTTTTACCAGAAAATAAAACAACTAGGAAAATTATACATTTACACAGAAGAAGAAATGGAAATCGAGACCTAAGAGGTACCAAACAATTCATTTTGGAAAGCACTGAAAAAGACCTAGAAAAAGCTAGCCAGTGTATGTATCCTCTCTATGTACAATTACTAGAAAAGTAAAATTGTTAAAGAAGCCCAAGTTTGAATCTGAAAAACTAATGGAACTGCCTGCTGAAGATGGTTATTTTGGGTAGAAAACAGGCATAGGAAATAGAGCAAGCTGATGGACATGAACAAGAAATCTTAGTCTGAAATTCAACTAGTGATTTTATTAGTAACTAGTGACTTTTAATAGTGAAAAAATAGGTTATCATAAACCCATTAGCAATAATCAAAACTGAAAAATAGCACCAAAAGAACAGATAAACTCCAGAAATATAGGAAGATTATAAAGTATGGAGCATGCCTAGCATAAAAACTTTTTAAGTTAAAATGGATACTATTTTTGCTCTTAAAATTAAGTTTTTTTAAACTGATAATAGCTAACATTAGGTGAGAGTGCAGATATGGCACCAACACTGGTGGTTAAGAGTGTAAACTGGCATAGCTTTTCTGGAAAGCAGTTTCCCAAGACAAAAGAATTTTTTAAATGCCCTACAAATCTAAAGAATGGGTCCACAGCATTATTTTTAATAGCACATAATGGAATACCTTATATTGATTAATAGTACTTTCAAAATGTGTTTAATGGAAAAATACTCAAAACTTAAAATAATATTGAAAGAAGAGGCTAACTCACCTTCATACAATATAACATGGCAAAAAAATGTAATTAAAAGTTCTAAGGACTAGAAAGAAATGCTCCAAAATGTTAACAGAACTCTATATAACATGGTAAGCTTTTTGTTTTCTTTATGCTATTCTGAGTAAGTTCTTTAAGATTATTATTTTTGTTTTTAAATCATTTTAATTTAAAAAGACAATAACCATTATCTTGGTATATTTTTACTTTCATTAAGATAAATAAAATCTGAACACAGGATGGAAATCAGAGGCATAGATCTCTTCCTTTCTGATTTTATCAATTAGCTTGTTTGGGGTCTTCGTTTTCCTCAATGAGAATGTGCTGCTTCTACATATTTATAAGGTAATTACAAGAATAAAATGAGAAAATATGCATAATATATTTAACAACCAGAAGAGCTTTTATGCCTGTTCATAGAAGAAATGGAAATTGTGCCCCAAGAAAAACCAAATGATGGACTCTACACAGCACTTGAAAAGTCCAAGAAAAGGCTAGCCAGTTTACTTATCTTCTATACAATGCTTTATATGGTGCAGTTTTTAAGTGAGCAATGTTTGAACTCTTAAACATCTCATACATTTATTTATGACTTACGACATTCAATAAGATTAGAAAGATTTTCTTTCTATTATTTGCCTACATTTAGAAGACATTGCCACAGAGGATAGTGGTACTGCCTTAAGTATGGTCCTGTGGACCATCACAAAAATGTACTAAATTAGACCATACCTTTCTAAATCTTTCTTGGGTTAAAACCACTTGGGAAAAAAATATGCACTATGACTATTTCAGCAATCTATCTCATGTAAAAGAAACATTTTTATCATTACTTCTGATTGCCTGGGGATAATGCAACGCACTGATGAGTGGCTTTTAGTTAAACCACCACCGAAGTTTGAACCTTGGCTCTATCAATAACTAGTTGCACAATAAATAGTAAGTTACCTAGCCTTTCTAAACCCATTTCCTCATCTATAAAACTGGAATTAATAATGATCACCTACCACTCTGGATTACTGTGATTAATATTATATACAGAAAGCACTCTCGCACACTGACACAGAAAGCACTATTATTATTACCCTTTGGTTCATTACATTTACTGTGTACATTAAGTGAATGCCTAATACATACCCACACATATACAAGTGTTCCTAATAATCATGTGAGGCAAGCAGTATATTCATGGTTCAAATAGACAAACTTAGAGAGATGACAAAGCACTTCCAAAGCAATGTGATCTAGCTCCAAACTCCTTCCCATCTGTGTATCATCTTTGTATCAAGTATCATCAGTAATTCCCCAGAAGTTCAAATTCTAAATTAGCGCTCTATTAGTGTGTAACATTATTATTTAACATTTTTAAAATTATAACAAATTGTTTCACTTCAACCAATGCTTTTCTGAGATGTGCACTAAAGGATTCTTAAGTCTCTATAACCAGACGATCAGATAAAACTTGTTCTATCTCTGCTTGAAGTTATAAAAGTATCAGTAATAACAAGTACAGCTCAAGTGACATCTGTAGACATGTATATAAAAATATATGTAACAAGCTGATTTCACAAGTCTATGAAAGGACAGGAAAGTACAGTGATTACACCAACATCTGAAATTATCCAACTTCCAGCTTACCTGTTAATGGAGCCCCATGAAATGTCTGCGATCCCTGATAGCTATCAGGCACTGAATCTGGTCCATAATTCTCTGTAGGCCAACGATGAGGGGATCCTGAATTACTGTTATTTAGTTTCAATTCCTGCATTTCTTTCTATTGAAAGAAGAAAAAAATCAGTTCTAAACACTTGAGTATGTTATACTAGACCAGTGCTACAGCAAATGTAAAGTATTTAAATACCTGATGATGCCTTTTAAAAGATTCTATATTCCAAAAAGATCTGAGTACTGAGGTGCTAATTTAAGATCATGATCCTACTTGCTTTTATTCTTTCATTTCTTGGTAACATTTCCTAATTCTAAGCTAGAGTAAGAGTTAACTCTAACCTAAACACTGAATATCCTCCTAAATGACCTCATCTCCATTTCTATCCTACACTTGCCTAAATGAATCTTTCTAAAGTTCAGTTCTAAACTCAAATACCTAACTTTCTTCTGACTTTCACTGCCCTCAACAGTATTGCCCCAAACATCCTTCCATCATCATCTTCCCATACTGCTTTACTTTTCAATCCATCTGTACTATTCAATACCCCCAAATTACCTCCCAATTCTAACTTTCCACATCTGACGTAACAACACACCACTAATCCTTCAAGGTGATGGGTAAATGCTATCCTAGGAAAGGGAAAACAAGTAGTAATTCATAAGAATATACTATGTATATAATAATATTCCTGGAAAATTACATAAATGTTTAATCCTTACATAGTTAAATAAACAATGTTAATTCACATCTTAAAATGGGAAGGATGCAGGAAATGGCATAGAATTTAAATCAGAACTTACTCCAAAAATGTTTTCATAATACCACTCTGCTCCCTGGACAAAATGGTATACATACTGCATTCATACAGAGGGACAGCTATGCCACTGCTCTCAGATCTCTGTCACTAAATATTGACAACACCCTACTCAAACCCAGAACCAAAAACTGTGTCTAACAAAACAAGCACTTGTTAAGAAACTACTTCTTTTTCCACAGAAACCAGTATCAGACAAGAGGTTACTTTTTAAAACAGTATCTATATAAGCCTAAGCATTTGGCCAGTTGGAATTTAGAGACAGATTCAGCATGCCTGCTTTCATTTCCTATACATGTTCTCAATAGAAATTTGAGAACTACCGTATCTTGAAGAGATGTTACAAATCCAAAAATTAGATACTAAAGACACATCAACTGGAAAACTGTTGGTCACTATTGGCATCTATCAGCATCACAGTTTTGAATATGCAATTAATGCTATAATCATAACTGTAAAAATACAATCAGCTAGAAAATATGCTAATAACTGGTTTCAACAAATTCTCACTTTAGAAATAAAACACTAAATAGAAAAGAAGGAAGTACCTGACTCGAGCATTAATTAGTGACAGTGTTAGTATTAAAATGCAAATTTTCAGACAAGCAGACCTCCACAGAATATAATGGTGGGCACCTGAAACCTATGTGGCAAGTCAAAGCCAAGATTTCACAAAATTTACATACAAAATTTTCTGCACAAATTCAAGTCTATTCCCTCCAGAGAACATCATCCAACTCTCTCAGATCACTAATAGCACTAAAACAAACACTGATCACTTTCCGTGGTGTAACTTCAAAAATATGAGTGATTTACTTCTTGCCCAATGAGCATGAAAGAACTTACTAGTTACAATCATTACATATGCATATAACTATTTCCTTGCACAATTAAGTCAAATTCTTGAATGCTAGAAAAACAAGAGTTTTTGAAGCTTAGACCACCTGTCAATTCCTAGTAATAAATGTAATACACATTACCACAGTCAAAATGAGAAACACACAGACCAAGCTGTGATTAGAATAGTTCATTAGTTCAATCACCTGGGGGAATTTCCTCTATGCCAGAATGATGCTATGTTTGGTAAGAGTCTCTACCACTGAAGGATTTCACATCTGGTGGAGGATACAGACATATGTGTAACTTTTTAAAAGGCGCCGAGCATGGCAAAGTGACATTTTTAAACAGCTTTAGAAAAAAGTAAGGCCTCCCTGGTGGCGCAAGGGGTTAAGACACAACCTATGAAGCTGTCCACAGCCTCTGCAGCACAAGTTCGATCCCCGGCCGGCCAAGAAGAAACCCACATGGCACAGCAAACCTCTCCTGACTCGCCTGCTCCTCCCCTCCGCAGTATACTTCTGTCAATCTGCCTGTTCTGTTCCCCACTTTGTCTGTGGTGAATCCTCTCACCACCCGCACCTCTGGCCTGTACCCCAGCTCTTGTATGCATAAATAAATAAATCTTAAAAAAAAAAAAAAAAAAAAAGTAAGTATGCCGAAAGAAGGAATCTTAGATTAAGGGAGGCAAAGGTTAAAGAAATGAAGGGATTTTACCTTAATGGCCTCTACTTGTTGGCAGATCATTTTCAATAAAGAATTCTGATCTTCTGCCCATCGAGGTGGTGTTTTGGGAGAATACTAAAAAGACAACAAAACAGTATTTGAAACATTTAGAACAGAAACATATTCCATAATGGTTCATTTCTTACCCACCTACCTTATAACTTTTATTTGGTGATAGAGAGTACTTGGTGGGAGATGGTGTAGAATGTTTTATTTCTGAATCTGCATTTCGCAAAGAACCATTTTTATAAAAAGGACCTCCTTCACTATAGTCATCGAGTTCTTGCATGACTGAACTAAGCATTTCCTTTACAGACTCCAGGGGCACAGGTAACTAAAAACAAAGAGCATAAATCACGGGCTTTAATGTTTTTGCTAAATATCAATGCATCAACTTTGAAATAAAAATTTTCTTACATTTTTCTTTTATGCAAAAAGCACTTTATACCTTACATAATAACACACATGAATCTGCTTTGTAATTTGATGTCTCCTGACTCTCCAAAGCCTATGTTGTGTCTATTACTTCTGTTAGCCACAATGGTAGAGGAATGTTAAGTTGGTAACTTTTTCAACATGAACAAAATAAGTTGCTAATGTTTACTGATTTTGAATTTGTAGACAAAATATAACTATTAGATGACAGGCAACATGAATACTAATTCCAAGAGCAGCCAACACAAATTAATCAGCAAAATACTTGTAAGGTTGAACATCACTGAAGTTAACACTTTCACAGTAATCTCAAACTGCTGCAAGAAAATATATAGTCCACAGCAGATGAAGAAGACTTGAAGAAATGTTCTAAGGTTGTGAAAAAAACTACTTTCGATTTCAGCAAAATTCTTTATTGCCAAATTAAGAACCTGTCCTTAAGTTACAACATTTGCTTTAATTATACTGCAATGGTAACAAAAATAAATATCCTACCTTCAGAACCTAACTTCCCAACAAGTATTTTCGTATAATTCCCAAATTTGAAAAAACACATAAGACCTAGGAAATTACTAACATATCAAACAAAGGCAAAAATACTTACCAACCAATAACAACAAAATACAAACAACCTTCAACTCACTTTTTTGACCAATGAAAGATCTGAATCACTGTCATCTATAATCTTTATTAGGTAATCCCTGGTTTTTCTTAGATAATTTTTGCACTCTTCTTGCTCTTCAGGAGAGAGGGCATCATTTTCAATGTCTTCTGCTTTTCTGTGAAAAATCTATATAAAGAGTGCTTTTATGAAATAATTAAGTTTTTAAAACAAGAAACTTTTAATTCAAGTACCATGTCTTACCAGTGCAAGATTCCAGTAAGAAACAACATTTTTTATAGATTCAAAAGCAGTCATAGCATCTTCTATATTTCCATTAACTGCATCCAATACAGCAAATGTTATGTGTGCTTCTTCTTCATAGTCACCAATTTCAGAGGCCTAAACACATTTAGTAATTTTTAGTCAATTACCTCTAAGCAGAATGATTAAATCCAAATGTTTTCCCAAAGATTTTATATGACCTAATGAGAATAGTATCTAATACTCTTTTCTGCCCTATCTTATTTGCAACAGCTTAGATTTATTTAGAGAGCAAGACTACCATTACAGAGGCAGTTAACTAAAACAGTTTTTGCCTCCATTTCTTTGTTTACAATCTAGAAATCCTCATCTCCAGTTAATCCACAAAAGAATTCTCTATTACCTGAATGTTTGCACTATGAAAATGTTTAAACAGAGGGTCGATAGGTTCAGGAATACTGTTCTTCTTTTTTATTGTCTTCAACAATGGCAACACCTTCTTCCAATAATGAACACTTCTGCCTATGTATTCTCGTTGGTCATAAAAAGAATTGAGACTGCTACCCTGCAAACAGAAAGTCAGAAACATACAATAAGGAACACAATAATCAGAACAATAATCTAATAAAAAACTTACAGAAAAATGATTACAACCGGCTGAAATTTCAAATCAAGACAAAATAGAATTTCAAATATTAGAATAACTAACGACCTGAAAACCAGTGATCATTCTCCCCCCAACTTTTTTAAACACTTTTCTATGATGATACCTTCTGAGGAAGACCAATCTATTTTTTAAAAATCGCCATTTTCAGATAGCCAGATTCTGTGACTTTGCTGTCAGTTTGGTTAAAGGGCTAAAGAATTACATATGATCTTGCCACAGAACAGACTTCAAATATTCAGAAAGATCCATATTGCCCTAACCTGCAAAGCCTTGGTTACCTAAGATGGGTAAAGAAGATGTGGTAAATGGGTAAAGAACATGTGGCATATATACACAACAGAATACTAGTCAGTCATTAAAAAAGAAAGAAATCTTGCCATTTGTGACAACATGGACCTTGAGGGGAGTATGCTCAGCAAAATGAAGCAGAAAGATAAATTTAACTGCACACATTTGAGAAACAGAAAAAAATTTTAGTAGCCAAAATGATTTTTTTTGGCCTAGGCTGGCACCCCATGGTTAGTGAAGTAGGCCAGATTGTTTGGACAGAGCTCACCAGTCAATGATTCAGTCCACCTGCTCAAACAAGATGTGAGGCCACTCATTCTACCAGCTTGCAATTTCTTTTACCTAGGCTGTCTCACAAGTTAACTAGTATGGTTTCTGTTTGGACCTTGAATGATATAGTAACTTTGCAGCATTGTGACTCTATCCACCCAAGTTGTATTCCAGGAAAACTAAGTTTTGGGGAGATACTGCCAGTCCCTGCCCAGACCACTGAGGCCCCGGACCTATGTCAGGGAGGGTGCCAGATCAAGTAGAAGCCTCTCAAGAGCCCACTGGCCCCAACCAATACCAGCAAAGGCCTTGAGGCTTCCCATTGTTCCCAGCTAGCATGTTCCCTCATCAACAGAAGTAAACCTCTACAGGACCCTGCCAGCATATGCATGGACATACCAAGGCCTTGTGACTTCCCATGAGATCTCCACCAGCACCTGCACAAACTGGTGAGACCCAAGACCCACATCAGGGAGTGAGCCAGAGTGATCAAAGGCATTATGATCTCCTGTGGCCACATAGCTGACCAGTGAGCAGGCAGGAGCCTCACCCAGAAGAAATCCCACATACAACAGCTGGGTTCCAAAGCTAATAATGGGCAAAAGGAAAAACCCAACACACGGCAACATGAGTCCCCAAACAAATAGTAAAACACAGAGAACAAACCTCCAGAAACCACAGACATGGAAGTTATATTCTTCCTATCAGAGTTTAGAATTCCAATGATAAAGAAATTCAAAGAACTAAAAAATATTTAGAAAAACAAATGAAATCAATGTCCTTAGAAATGAAATCAATGAACCAAAGAGAAACTGAAGTTCTAAATTAGAAAAAAAATGGAGTTTCAAGATTTCAAGAAATAAATTCAGGAGACTCAGGAGAAATTCACAGGAGAATAGATGAAGTGTAACAAGTTATTGCAACCGAAGATGCAAATGCACAAAGAACCTGGGTAGAGGAAGAAAAATCAATGAAATTTAAAAAATGAGGAAACAATCCAAAAAATAACTGATTCCATGAGAGAAAGCAACGTAAGAATAATGGTAACACTAGAGAGAAAAGAGAGAAAGGAACAGAAAATATATTTAAAGAAATAATGAAGGAAAACTTCTAGAATTAAAGAAGGAAATAAATGTGTAAACTGAGAAAGATAAAAGAACCCTGGCATACCTAAATAGGAGATCCACAGCAAGACATACAGTAATGAAATTTCCAAAAATTCAGGACAAAGAATACTGAAGTTGACAAGGGGTAAGAAGCAAAAAACCTACAAAAGTACACCAATCAGCCTAACATCAGACTTTCATGAAGAAACACTTCCTTTGGAAAGAATGGATGGCATGTTACAAACACTTAAAAGCTTAAGGGGTCTGCAAACACTAAACCACAACTCCAAGAATACTGAAAGGAGCATCCACGCTGAAAGTGAAAGAGGAATACACACAAAGAAGTAAATAATGAAATAGACTGACCCACAAAAAACTTAAGAATAAAATGGCATTAATGGACTATCACATATCAATAATCACTTTAAATGTAAACAGACTGAACACATCAACTAAAAGACAAAGCATTTAGTTGAATCATGAAACAGAACCCAAACTTCTGCTTTCTCCAGGAGACAAACATGAACTCCAAGACAAACATATATGTTCAAAGTAAATGGCTAGAAAACAATCCTACAAGCAAATGGGACTCTAACGAAGGCAGGGACAGTCACATCAGACAAAACAGATTTCCATTAAAAAAGGTAACAAGAGACAGGAAGGGATACTATATAATGATAAAGAGAACGATACATCAAGAAGACAACACTCATCAACCTATCTGTACCAAATTGAGAAGCATCAAAATATATTAGGCAACAACTATTGACTCTGAAAACAAACACAGGAAAAAAATATTTGTGGTAGGAGACTTCAAACCCCAATCTTACCAATGGACAGATCAATTAGACAGAAAATAAACAGGGAAACACTATCCTTAAATAGAGAATTAGACCTGCTGGACCTCACAGATATATATAGGGTACTGAACCCCAAAAAAGCAGAACACATATTTTTCTCAAATGCACACAGGATATTTTCCAGAACAGACTACATTCTGGGACAGAAAACAAATATCAGAATTTCACAAAGATTGAAATCTTCGCAGACCATAAAGGTATCAAACCAGAAATCAACTATCAAAAGTAAGTAAGGAAATCTTTTAACACATGGAGATGGAACAAAACACAATTGAAAGACCACTGGGCTAATGAGGAAATAAAAAAATCAAAAAAAATGCCTCACAAAAATGAGCACATAATCATTGAAAACGCATGGAAATAAGCAAAATTAATATTAAGAAGGAAATATATAGCAATGCAGGCTGGCTTACATCAAGAAACAATAAAGAGCTCTATGAATAACTCCCTTGTCAACTTGAGGAATTAGAAAAAGAGCAAATAAATCCAAAAGTCAACAGAAGAGAACAGAAATAAAAATCAAAGCAGAAATGAAACAAATATTTCTTAATTTTTTTAAAGATTTATTTTATTTATGCATAAGAGCTGGGGTACAGGCCAGAGATGTGGGGTTGAGAGGATCCACCAGAGACAGAGCGGGGAACAGAACAGGCAGACTGACCGAAATACACTGCTGAGGGGAGCAGCAGGCGAGACAGGAGAGGTCTGCCTCGCCATGTGGGTTTCTCCCTGGCCGACTCGTGCTGCAGAGGCTGCGGATTGCCCCACAGTGTGGTGCTCAACCCTTTGCACCACCAGGGAGGCCCAAAACAGAAATTTATAAGGCATCCAAAATGTCAACAAAATCAAAAGCTTGGATTCTTGGAAAAAATAAACAAGACAAACCTCCAGCAAAGATCAACAAGAAAATAAGGGCAAAATCTCAAATAGAATCAAAAGTGAAAAAGGAAAAAAACCACTATAGGTGGCACAGAAATTCAGCGGTTAATCAGATTGCTATAAACACCTAACAATTTGAATAATCCAGAAGAGATGGACAAATTCTCAGAATTATACAATCAGTCCAGACTAAACAGGGAAACAGAAAACCTTAACAAACAAATCACAAGAAAACTGAACAGCAATCAAAACTCAAGCAAAAACAAACAGTCCAGGACCAAAAAGCTTCACAAGTGAATTCGACAAACCCTCAAAGAGAAACTAATGCCTACCTTGCTCAAAGTCTTCTAAAAAATTCAAAAAGAAGGAATACTTCTAAATACTTTTTATGAGGCCAATATTACTCTAATACCAAAACCAAAAAAAAAAAAAAAAAAAACCAGCACAAGAAAAGAAAATTATGGCCCAATCTCCCTAATGAACACACATGCAAAAATCCTGAATAAAATCCTAGCACACTGAATCCAACAATCCACTAAAAGGATCATACATCAATAACCAAGTGGGATTCATACCAGAAACACAAGGATGGTTCAATACCTGAAAATCATTCAACATAATTTACCACATCAACAAAAAACACAATCCTATAAATGCTGAGAAAGCTTTTAATAAAATCCAGTACCTATTTATATTGAAAAATATAATAAATGGAATATACTTTTAAAATAATAAATGCCATTTACTATAAACCCATAGCCAGTATCATTCTCAATGGTGAAAAACTGAAAACTTTTCCACTAAGATCTGGTACAAGGTGAGGATGTCCATGCTCACCACAGCTATTCGACATAGTGCTAGAAGTTACAGATACAGCAATTAGACAAGAAAATATATAAAAGGAATCCAAATTGGGAAAGAATATAGAAAGCTATCCTTATTTGCAGATGACATAATAAACAGAGAGCCTCAAAATTCCATTTGCCCTCCTATACACAAAAAATGAGACAGAAGAGGAAAGAAGTGATCCTATTTACAATTATGCAAAAAAAAAAAAAAGAAACCAACCCCACGTAGTGGTAACCCTAACAAAGGCAGTAAAAGACTTATACAAAGAAAACTATAAGACATTGATGAAAGAAGACAAAAAGAAAAATATTCCCTGTTCATGGACTGGAAGAAATCAACACTGTCAAAACAGCCATTCTAACCAAAACAATATAAAGATTCAACACAATCCCCATAAAAATATCAATAGCATATTTCAAAGAACTGGAGCAGGGGCCTCCTCTGGTGGTGCAGGTGGTTGAGCACATTACTGTGAAGCTGTCCACAGCCTCTGCAGTGCGCGTTCAATCCTGGCAGGCCAGCGAGAATCCCACATTGCGCAACAGACCTCTCCTGTCTCTCCCACTGCTCCCCTCAGCAGTGTATTTCACTCAGTCTGCCTGTTCTGTTACCCACTCTGAATCCTCTCACCCTGCAGTGCATCTGGCATGTACCCTGGTTCAGGTATGCATGAATTAAAAAAAAAAAAAAAAGAACCAGAGCAAATACTACTAAAATTCATATGGAATCACAAAAGACCCTGAAAAGCAAAAGCAATCTTCACAAAGAGGATAAAGGTATCACACTTCCAGAACTCAAGCTATTATAAACCATAGTAATTAAAATAGCATGGTACTGGAACAAAAACAGAAACACAGAGGAATAGAATTGAGAGCCCAGAAATAAATCCACATATATACAGACAGTTAATCTATGACAAAAGAGCCAGAAATATACATGGAAGAAGGATAGCCTTTTCAATAAATGGTGTCGGGAGAACTGGACAGCTGCATACAAAAGAATGAAGTTAGACCATGATCTCACAACATATCAAAATCAACTCATCAAAGATTTGGACGTAAAACCTGAAACTATAAAATACATAGGAAAAAAAAAATAGGCAAACATTTCATGTCATAAGCATTAATGATGCCTTTAGGGATTCATCCCCAATAGCAAGGAAAACAAGAGAACATGCACAGCTGGGACTATACCAATCTAAAAAGCTTCCAAACAGCAAAAGAAATTGTAACTGAAAAGACCCTACTGAAAGGGTGAAAGTATCTGCACACCATACATCTGACAAAGCACTAATATCAAAGATATACAAAGAACTCATAAAATTCTACAAAAACAAAACGACACAATCAAAAAATGGGAAAAAGAACTAAACATCCAAAGAAGACATCCAAATGGCCAACAGGCACATGAAAAAATGCTCACAAGCACTTATTTTTAGAGAAATGCAAATCAAGACCACAGTGAGATACCACCTCACACCTGTGAGAAAGGCCCCCATCGAAAAGACCAGAAACAAGTGCTGGTGAGGATGTGAAGAAAAGGGAAGCCTCCTACAATCCTGGTGGATATGCAAACTGGTCCAGCCCTTATGGAAGCAGTATGGAAGTGTCTCAAAACATTTAACAATCTGCCATTCAACTTACTAATTTTACTCCAAGCCATTTATGCAAAAAATTCAAAGACACTAATTGGAAAGGAAACTGTTCTTCCTCGTTTACAGCAGCACTTATAATTAAACTACGAAGGCAACCTAAGTGCCCCAAAACATATGAATGAATCAAGATGTGATATACAAACAAAATAGAATATACTACACAGCAATCAAAGATAACTCATGTCATTTGCAGCAACAACCATGGAGCTTGAAGTCAGAGGAGAAAGATAAATACTAGATAGTGTCACTAATCTGTGAAATGTAAAGCAACTAAAGTTACAGATAAAGACATACTGAAAAAATAACCCTTGATAGTTGACTACAGCAATGAACCACAAAAGGGTGTGAAAGTGGGATGGGTAGTGGAAGGGTAAGAACAATAAGGGATGGAAACAAAATGGTCTATGAAGATAGAATATGGGTGAGTTGGTGATGGGCGCACTACAGTGAGAATACACGATTGGATTATCCCAATATTACCTCAGTTAAAAACTGATTACATTTTTAAAAAGATTTTTTTTGAAACCGTATGTCCTGTTTCACAGTGATTTTAAGCACCAGAATTAAAAGAAAGGAACTTTCCTTCAATTATTGTCCAATCTTTACCAACACATATGGAGATATTACCACGTGTCAGGCAAATAGTAATTTTCCAAATATGACTACTGGCCTTCAAAGTGCTGAATTTAAGAAATGTAAATACTATGTAATAAAATCCTCTTTGCCTCAAAAAAAAAAAAAAAAGTACCCAAAATGGAATGAAAGAAATTAAATAACTACACGTTTCCAAACATTCCAAGAGTGTCCAGGCCCAGCTGGTGTGGACAAAGACTACAAATCCTCTATAATCAAATCTATGTCCCCAATATTTAGTTGTTTATTCATTCATGTCTCTCAAAGAGTCCTAGTCATTATTTTGTAGGCAAAGTGGTCACTAAGACAGACTTACCTTTTTGTCCATATAATGAAAAGTAAAATCTAAGTCTAAAAGTAAAAATGAAAAGCAAACAAAACAAACCCTTTGACTCCAAAAACAAAATGGTGTAGGTTTTCTGAAGGGGAGGAGAATGAGTAGGGACTAGACAGAGACACTGGACCAACTAGTTGGTGATAAACGGTGACTGGGCATTTAGTGGTAGGGATAGTAATATATACCTCGACTGAGATGAGATGTACCACCTGAAACCCATACAGTGTTATAAAATAAAGTTACTTCAATAAATAAAAAAAATATTTTTCAAGCTAGACAATAATTACTGCTTTTACTATGTGTCAGGCACTGTTATATTGCTTTTTAATTAGATTAATGACTGGCAAGATTTAACAAATACATTTCATACAATATGAACAAATTTATGTTTTTAGAAGACAAAATGGAAAGTTTTTGATTTTTAACAATTAAGGTGACAATCCTAAAAATGTTTACACTGTAATGAACTCACCGTTATGTGAAGACATTTTGCCCAATGTACAAGCAGAGAAGGTTGAAGGCCATGTTTTTCCTGGCCTCTTAGAGTATTTATGTCATGCTGAACTAGAAGTCGCAATTTTGCTGAGGTTCCAGGTCTAAAAAAATTTAATTTATAAAAACAAAGTTCAACACCTGTACAATACTCCACAGGGGATATGTTCAAGACACTCAATGAATGCCTAAAAAATACAGATAGTACCAAACCCTCTATATACTGTTTTTCCCTGTATGGTCATCCCTACAATAAAGTTTAACTTATAAATTAGGCACAGTAAGAGGTTAACAACAAAAATTAATATAAAATAGGACCATGCAAATTATAACAATATATTGTAATAAAAGTTACGTAAATGTGGTCTCTCTCAAAATCTTATTATACATAGTATTTTCTGCCTCAGGCTGACTATAGGTAATTAAAACCTCAGAAAAAAGAAATATGCATAAGGAGAGAACTGCTGCATGTTAATTCCCATATGATAATTCAATTAAACCTTCCATGAAAATTAAGTTATATTCCTGATAAGGGGTAGGCAAGAAGTTAAATAAGTATGTTTGTCGTACTACTTACATTGCTTTTCTGTGAATTAGATTACAAACTGCATCCCACCATGACTTTTGTCTTTCTGTACAGAGCTGTTTACACACAGGAAGTGGCAAGCATAGTGGCTGATAGAAGCTATAGTGAGAATTACATTTCTCCTTCAATTGTAAGTGGCTGGTATATATTACACCAAGTAAAAATACCTGGTTTAAAAAAAAAAAAGTCAATTTAAGTTAGAAAATAAATTTTAAAACACACGCACAAAAAAATAAATTGTTTAAATCTGTGCTTACTTCAAGATCTAAAATACATATTGATTCAGGTGCATTTGTTTCAAGTCTTGAAGTTTCTTGGGGCAAATGATGAAAAAGCTGTTTTAGCCATTTTCGAATTGCAGGTAAAGTAGGCAATGAATTCCATTGTAAGCCAAGCCAGGTAAGGTGCTGAAGACTACCATTATGTGCTCGAATGGCACCTGAAACAAAGCAGACAAACTGGCTTGAAGTTTTGGATTTCTTTTTGTGCCATCCGTTTTGCCAACATGAACCACTGGTTGACATAAAATTATCTTAAGTTTTATAATTACTTTTCTGTATCAGAAATAGTGTTCTATATAAAGGTATTCACATTTATATCTAGGAACTTTAAACTTAATTACAAGTAATTAAGTTCTTTTTAAGTCCATCCAAGAAAAAAAGATTCATTAGAATTCAGTAAAGTAAAATCTACTGACAGAGGCAAAATAAAGAATAGTCATTATTAGAATAGTTGTAAAAGAGGACAAGGAAATTGTGGCTAATTCAGAAAGCAGATTATACTTGCTCCCTGATTCATTGTGTCCCGCCCCCAACCACAACAACCAAAAAAACCCTGAAAAGATTATCAGAGAATACTGCCATTATGTTTGGATAACGAGATCATGACAAGTCTATTTGTTTTGCCTTCATTTTTCTCCTAATATAAAAGGATTAAGATGAAAAAGTTTCCCTTGAAAGATACAACTTACCAACATCATATCTAGCTAAATCATCAGGCTGTGGTGCTTGTACATCAATGTTTCCAATATCATCACTTCCAAGAAAAGATCTATCCTTAGATGACTGATTAGAAAACAGAGCATCATATAAAGCAGACTGCCCACTTTTATTGGCAAAGGATTCTACCACCTCTTTTAAAAAGTCTTGCTTGTCACAACTTAAATTTAGTAGCATGTGCCCTGAAAGACAAATTATATCCATTATTAAATAATAAAGAATGTTTTTATTTTACTCACACCTCTCAGTAGTTTCATTCACATATCCTAAGGGGAAATAAATTATTTCAGGTCTAACCCAACAACCACAGCTAGATAACAAATAGGGATCTCATGTTATATAAAAAATGAATATATGTTACAGACTTAGTAATATCTGTGCTCACATGCTATAACGTAAACGGAAAGAAAACAGACAATGTGTATGAAAGCACCAAAAAGTATTTACATTTTAGAAGGAAAAGTGTGGGATTTATGTAACCATAGGAGAGTAGGGTCAAACTCAAGTTCTCTGACATGATGCACGTATTTCTAAACCTGGCTGGTCAGATTCATCCTTTAAAAAGTTTTGAAGAAATATTTATTTCTAGACTCTACTACCACAGGATTCTGATTCAACAAGTTTGTGGTGAAGAACCTATTTGAAAAACACTCCTTAGATAATGTTCTAGCACATGCTAAATTACCCAAGAACTTGAAAACACTAGCTAAGAAGACAGTCACAAAAGACCACATATTTATGATTCAAATTATGTGAAATGTTAACAGGGAAATCTAAGACTAGCGGTTGCCCAGGGTTAGGGGATTTGGAGAAACGTTGGGAGAGTAAAGGGTATAAGATTTCTTTTTGAAGAAAAAGAAAAATACCGGATGGTCTCACTCATAGCAGGAATCTAGAAAACTTAAATAAGAGACCAGGAAAATGAATATAAGAAAGTGAAAATCAAAATCAACAAAAAACTATGAACCAGAGACACTTTTTGGGGGGCGGGAGGGGAAGGATTGGGGTCAGAATGGGGCGTTTGCAATTGTATGGGGGAATATAAAAATAAAATTTATTATTTAAAAAAAAAAAAGATTTCTTTTTGAGGTGATGAAAATTTCTAAAATTAACTATTGCAATAACTACAGAACTCTGAACATACTAAATACCACTATTTGCACACTTTCTTTTTTTTTTTTTTTAAGATTTATTTATTTATTCATACAAACACTGGGTACAGTCAGAAGCGCAGCGCGGGAGGGTGAGAGAATTCACCAGAGTCAGAGCAGGATGCAGAACAGGCAGAAGGACCGAAGTACACTGCTGAGGGGAGCAGCGGGCGGCAGGAGAGGTCTGCGCACCATGTGGGACCCTCCTCCGGTGGCCGGGGAGCAGCCGGGGATCGAACCGGCACTGCAGAGGCTGCGGGCAGCTTCGCAACCCCGCGCTCAACCGCTGCGCCACCGGGGAAGCCCTATTTGCACACTTTCAATTAATGAATTACATGGTACATGAACTTCTTCTCAAGCTGTTCAATAGAAACACTCCTGGAAGCAATTCTGTCAGGTCTGGTTACTTATAGACACTATCTTTCAAAAAATTACAGAGATAAGTTCCAGAATACCCAGATCAAAGACATTAAAAAACAATTCATTTTGTAACTGACATACTGCAAAGTGATCTATGACAGTCCTGAAAAGGTTGAAAGAGTAGTAAGGGAAAAAATGGAAAGTCACTTTTTCAAGAACTGAAAGTCTATCTCTCACAAAAAAAAAAAAAGGTTGTGGAATACTGGAGCAATATAAGCTTTAACCAACAGCCTAAGTATACACCAAAGCTTACAACAAGAGTTAAATATTAACTATTACCTGATTGACTGAGACGATCAAAGGCCATCATTTCCAGCAGATTTTGTCCAGCTTCTCCTTTTATTAACTTAATCTTTGGTCTTGGAATCTGATTGTTATAGAATCAAAAATCTTTATTAATACCCATATTTCTTATATTAGGACATTTCTTCCTATCACCTTGTATTTATTGATTAAACAGTTAACCAGCAGTTAAACTGGTTGAAAAACCACCGCGCCAAAAAAAAAAAAAGGGATCCAGGGAATTTAGATAGACTTTAAAAGATACTTACAAAGATCACTTCTGAGAAATTACTTTCTACTAAAAGCATACTTGAATCACATTTAGAGCACTGGAAAATTTAGTTAAGATAATTTTTCTAGCTTGTATAAACTCTGTAGTTCTGTTTATAACAGAAGACAGTCCCAGTCCTATTTACAAGCACTTGGTGGATGCTTTATACACATAAAACATTTCTGGAGGAACTCACAGTAAATTAGTTAACATTAGTTCCCCTAGGGAAGAAAAGTAAATGACTAAGACACTGAGGTAGAAAACATTTTTACAGTATACTTACATACCATTAGAATTGTAAACAATGTGACTTGTTAACATCTAGGATGTTAATTTTTCAACAACAATTAAGAATCTAATAGCTTCTGATTTTAAATTTTAGATTAGAAATGGGCTTTGGACTGTTAGATTAGAAACAAGGTTTATCATCCACAAGTTTTCTAAACACAATTCCAAACTTTCTTCTATACATTTTGAAGAGCAAACAAAGAGAATCAGAATGTAATACAATTTTGTTGTCAAACTTACCTGAATTCATAATTCAAACATTATTTGACAACTACTGTTTGTGATCAGTTAGTTATGACTCTACTCAAAGTCAGTATTTCTTCATCTTAAATTAAAAGATTTCAAGAGAGACTATTTAATGCCTATCTCAAATATAAATATACTTACTATAACCACAGCATTCCCCTGTTGCAAGAGTTTGACAGAAGCTAGCCTGACATGATTCCTTAAGGACCCATTATTCCAGTTCACACTTCCCTTATATGCTTGCATTCTATTCATTTAGATAAATTTTTAACAAATGATAACATAAAATCCAAACATCTAACAGGTTTCCATCATATATCCTCTCAATGCAGATATGAAGTAGGTAAGTAGGTGGGGAGACGGGAGAAAGGAAAAAAGGATAAAAAGGTAGATGTCTGTACTGAAACAGAACTATGGAAAAACAGTGAAAAAGTATTCAATAGCAAACAAAGCACATATCTGCTGAGGCAAAATAGGTTTTAAAAGTAGAGTCAGAGTACACTGTTATGTTGGTATACACAGAAAAAACACCGAGGATCAAGAAACTAGTAACAGTGGCTGTCTTCTAGGAAAGAAGATTTAACAGAGAGTCAGTTTTTACTATTAAGTAAAGATCTAAGTTAAAAAGTTAACTGTTATATGTTAATTTTACAATACATATATTAAAAAATTAATAGATTTTAGTTTCCATTAAAAATCAGAAAATCAGCTATGTAAGGACTATTTACCTTAAGAATATTTCTATATATTAGCAAACTTTACTTGTATTTGCAAACTTCATTAATTTCACTAATATATCACTATGAACATAAATGATAATGTGAAGCAAACAATAGCACCCAAACTGTGGACTAAAGATCAACGCTTTTGTAAAGATCCACATAATATGAACTGGAAAGAAGGAGAATTCTCTACAGGTAATCCCACAGTGAATTCTTTTTCCTTTCCCTCTAAAGGTTAACAATTTTTATAAGCCAGACTTAATGCAATTTTTGGCATACTGCTTATTTCTTTTCATTTCGGAATTAAAGAAAGTCCACTAAAGAAAACATCAAAACTACAAAAATAAATTAGGGAAGAATAAGTAACTACTAACTCATCATCTTAAAATCAAGGTTAACATTTTGGCAAATTTCCCTCATGCCACATTATATGTTTTATGTTCCTAAACATGCATATACTGCTATTTATCATACTTTCCTAATATACTTTCCTAAATGCTAGCTACATACTACATAAATATTTGTCAATTAAGATGTTAAAATGTTTGGGATAATCATATTTTTCTATACTAGCCTACATAACCAAACCCCCAAAATTTAGTTTTTTGTCCAAATTATGCATCTTTTATAATCGTTTTATCCAATATATGAGTTTTTCTGATTAATGGCAGAGTAAAAGATCAAACTCTTGATACTGGTCTTGCAAAAATTGCAGAGTAAAAAGATCAAATCCTTGAAAATGGCAATATAACAATGTAGACTACCACCAGCAATGCAACAATATACCTAAAAACTACCTCACCAGTCCTGTGTAAATCTTATTTTCACCTATCAAATTATTTAAACTTTAGTTGTAAAGGTTTGTTCACACTGTCGTTCCATACCAAGACACAGCTCATCTGAAATACAACTCAGTAAAATGTCAATAGCACCCAAAACTGGAAGGCTTACCTGAAATGCTATGAGATAGCATAATGCAGCCAGCTCTGAGAGAGCTCGCCATTGGACATCACTATGCTGACCCATCTTCAAAAGCAGAGAACCGGCATGCATGTAGAAATGTCCCTTTATTTCTAAGAAAGTAGCTGAGAGTTCATCATTTCCACCCACACAAGATTTCACAGACTGAAGAGCACTATCAAAACTGTAGCAAAATATTAGATATTAAACCTAATGTATTGCAAATAATGATGGTTTCATTATTTTATTTAAAATAAAACTAATAAGGGAGTCTTTAAGTTCAGGCTTCATCTTCTACTAACTCCCTATTCAATATTTTATAAATTGTAAATCATTTAATGATTATTTTTATCCCACATACTGTCTATACTTCAAAACTTAAACTCTAGAATGGTATCTTTTCCTGAACAGCTATTTCCAGATATATATCAAACAGGACTACTGATTATGGAGAATGTTTCATAACAGATCAAGAAAAAACTGGGAGTCTACTTTCCAGTTTCTTCTTGATCATATGGTTTCATTATTTAATTCAAAGTTGAAATTTTCAAATTAGACATGTCATTTTCAAATTATAATTAAATAACTTATACAATACTATTATCAATACTGTAATCACTATTCTTACAATATCAATTATAAAGCTAAATATATTTTATTTTTCATTATTCATTATATACTAAATAGTTATTCTAAATCTTAATCATTCTCAGAACCTTAATTTTGTAAGACAAACAAAATTACTTAATAGAAATTTGCATGAAGTCTAGTCAGGGGGAATCCATGAAGCTCCAATTATTTTTATACTATTGCTAAGAAATTATTTGTCTCATTCACCCTTATTTTATTTTATAAACTGAAAATTTTTTAGTAGATAATCCATGCAAAAGAAAATTTCCTAAATATTTTCTAAAATCATATAAAAGTTCAAACCAGTTTTTCACATACTACTCTTACTAAAAATCATCTTAGGGAACTAACTACTTCTTTTCAAAAACTACCAATCTCCTTACACTTCAGTGAAAACTTTTTTCCATGTTAGATGGGGGAAAAGGAATTACTTTCAAATAAATGGAGAGTCTAAACAACAGTGAGGATGGCAAACTTTTAATGTAAAGGGCCACATTTTATTTGATTGTGCAAGAATACAATCTGTCACAATTGCTCAGCTACACCACTATAGTGTATCTATTATCAGCCATAGACAATAGGCATCACTATGTTCCAAAAAGACTTTATTGACAAAATCAGATAGTAAAATTCTTATATGGTCTACAACCCCTGTTCTAAGCTATTCTTATACAAATCCAAGTGATGTTTTGGTCAAAAGAATTTGTTTTAATTAAGTAGAGATACTGAGCTTCAGTATCAAAATTTGGGAAAACAGAAAAAATATCAAACATTATATTTTAGTGAACCTTTTTGTAAGTTAAAGGAATATTTTCTGAAATACAATTATTGCTAAGTATTTATACTACAACATCTGACATGTTTATTTTCTGATGTTCACTGAAGATTGTATCATTTACATAATTACAAAATATGGAACAGAACATTCACTTTCTTTTTTTTTTTTTTTTAAGATTTAGTTATTTTATACAAGAACTGGGGAACAGGCCAGAGTGACGGAATGGTGAGAGGATTCACCAGAGACAGAGTGGGGAGCAGAACAGGCAGACGGACCAAAAGCACTGCTGAGGGGAGCAGCGGGCGAGACAGGAGAGGTCTGCCCTGCCATGCGGTTATCTCCCTGGCAGGCCGGGAATAGAACCTGTGCTGCAGAGGCGGCAAACAGCTTCACAGCGCTGCGCACAACCCACTCCCCCACCGGGTAGGCCCCCAGAACATTCATTTTCATGCTTGATTCTTCAAGCATGCCAAAAGCACTATAAGGATAATTTAAGCAGGCATAAACTATAACAGTTCTCTAAAAATCAAGGACATACAAAACCAACTATAATGCCCACAAAAGATTCCTTCCACATACTTTCTTCTATTAACTATAACTTCTATAAACATCATCCTATATGCACCTCCCTGGTGGCACAAGGGGTTAAGACGCAGCCTATGAAGCTATCTGCAGCCACTGAAGCACGAGTTCCATCCTCAGCCAGGGAGCTACCCATATGGCATAGCAGACCTTTTATGACTTGCCCGCTGCTCCCCTCAGCAGTGTATTTCAGTCAGACCTCTTGTTCTGTTCCCCACTCTGCCTGTGGTGAATACTCTCATGCCCCCACACCTCTGGCCTGTACCCCGGTTCTTGTATGCATAAATAAATCAATCTTTAAAAAAAAATCCTGTAATACAGAAATGCAGTAGACTCAAAGCTTAAAGGACTGAATTACTAGAAAAAATTAGTGATTCATACTAAAGTACACTCCTTAAGTTAACATACCTTTCCAATAATTCTCTACTTTCTTGCACATCTCTACTTGAGAGTGTAAGACGCATAAGGTTAGCATAGGCCAAAAGTAAGTCTTTATTGGTTGCTTGCCAGTTACTTTTATCAGACTCCACACACTGTAATGATTCCAAATATTCCTGTTTTGTAGAGAAAAATTAAAAAACTTCACAAAGTGTTACAAAATTTATCATTTTATAACTACAAATTCCTTTACCTACTCCTGTATTTGTAAAATTACAGTGATTTTTATGAGTCTATAAAAACACCAAAAATACAAATTTGTCATATTTATCCGTCCACTCTACATATTATAAGTTGAAATCATTCTGGTAAAAATTTCATTTCATAACTGCTGCAATGAATGAAAGAAATTTGTCTTGGAGTACACTGTTTTTAAATGTGTTGTAATTGTCTATATACAGAACTGTAGAGACCCAACAGTTTGGTGTTTTTGGACCTACCTTAAGAGTCTGCACAACACATGAATTCCATTCCAAACTTGAACGCAATGTTATGTTTCTCTCTGCCTCATGGCAGTGGGCCACAGCATCCTTCAATCTTTTATTTGAGCGATACAGCTCTAAGAGTCGGATGTTCACATGGACATCATCAGGTCTTGTATAAAGTTCTGACTGGATCAGGTCAAAAAGTTTATTCCATCCATCTTCACCTTTACAATCTAAAAGCTGTTCCTATTTAAAAAAAAAATCATTACTTTAGAGAAACACCTATGCAATTTTAAATATATAATACCCAGTTTCTCTAGCTAGTAAATTACCACCTTCTGGTGGCACCATCCTACATACCTCATTGCCCCCCTTTCTGAAAGATGCTTCAAGCCCAGAAGCTACACCTCAAAATATTTACTTGGCAACATCTGAGATTATGTAGTGGCAGTGGTTGCCCATCCTCAGCAACTGGCAGAGTTACTGTCCCACATTCCTGTACACCCAAGTCACCAACAAAAGCCTAGGCATCCCCAAATCAATCCTAATATTAGCATCCTTATTGTAAACTCCGGATTTCCCAAAACCTGACTCCATACCTTACCACCTCCACTCCCACTTTTTAGTTCTACTGTTCCACTATATTTTCAGTTTCATCTCTTCACGTCAAGTGAATGGGTTAACACTTCGAGATAGTACCCATCACTTTTCTGCCAGGGCACCTTTTTCTCTGCTAGCCTACATCAAATAGAGGAAGTAGGATTTGTGAGCTACTCACCCCCAAAGTCATTTCCAAATCCTATCTCCCCAGTTACATATCCAGATAATTCTGTTTCCTAAAAATAAAGCTATGTAATCACTCTACCCATGCCTCACGAGCAACTGGAATAGAACATTCTTCCTTCATATTTAAGAATTGTCACTGGTATTAACAACTGGAAGTTGTAGAAATAAAGGGTTTTCTTTTTTAAATGTTCCCTGTAAATTAGTCATAATGTGATATGGTTTCCATGGTTATGTGATTTTTTTTTCTTCCCTTTTTTTTGTTGGTGTTGACTTGCAATACTTATACAGCATCTTATTCATTCACATGTCAAACAGTATGCCCACATACTGTCTAATTTTATAAATTCTTTTTTTCCAGCAAATATTTAGTTGATTGACAATGCCTTTTTCATGACATAATGAAGTATTTACTTGAAAAAAACACAATTGAAAGATGTAAGATAGAGAGTAGACTGGCTACTCAGCTCTTTAATTACTTCATCTTCACTGGCACTGTTCTGCACTCCAATCTCAACCTCTAGGTGTCTTCAAGATCTGTATTTCGGTCATACCACTCAGAACACCATGCCTTTCATTCTTCCAATTCAATGGGGGCTCATATAACCTCAATGACATATATATTTGCCTGTAACATGTAAAATGTACTCTTCAATACAATATCATCACATTTCAACTTTACATAAAATATTTTCCTTCTGTGAAGCTAAAATGTCATACCCATAATATCTGTAAGTATTGCTTGCAGATTTCCTCAATTAAGTTCCTCCACCTTCCCTTAAAACCCTACCATCTGCTTGCTCTGTACCTAAATATTAACAGTTGAACAACCAAGGGAAGAACATTTGGAAATGGGAAATGACAGCCAGACTGATTCACTTTCATAATCTCAAATCTCAAAAAGTGATGATGTCTGGAACAAAACCTATTTTTACCACTAATAGACTTAATTCACCATTTCCTGAAACTGTCACTTCATATTCCTCTTTCCTCAAATTTCCCACTTTCCTTCAACTTTCACTTCTGACAACAAAACAGAAGCCTACATACATAAATCCCGCTTTACCATACCTACTTAAACTCATCTCCCTGCTCACCACACCTAGCAAAGACCAAGCTCTGCATTAGTGCTCTATTATTTTATTGTCCTCTCTCCTTTACTAATCTTCCTGAATCATTTGCATAACTTATACCTGACCTTTCAATAACTGGTGGGGGTGGGGAAGGTGGACCCATTAGGCTACAACTGTATGTTTAAAAATAAGTAAGGGGCCTCCCTGGTGGCATAAGGGTTAAGTCTCAGCACTATCACACACTATCACCACTGTCAACATTGCAGCCTGAGTTCTATCCCCCACTAGGAAGCTAACCCACATATCGCACAGCAGATCCATCCTATCTCGACTGCTGCTCCCCCTAGCAGTGTATTTCAGTAAATCGCCTATGTATTTCAGTAAATCCTCACTGTCCCCACTCTGTCTCCAGTGAAGCCTCTCTCTCCCTGCACCTCTGGCCTATACCCCAGTTCTTCTACCCAAAAATAAATAATCTTGAATAAATAAAAAAATTTTTTAAACAAAAATAAATAAGTAAAAGATCAGCACCATCACGGATGCTTTACAAAAGTTCAATTCTCATACTCGAGGGAAAAAAGACCTCTAACCATTATTTTCATTCATTTTTAAAAAATGTCAAAAACTATCTTACACCTTAAATTTTAAGGGAAATCAAATTACTTTGCAAAACAGTTATAAGTCTCATAAGTGTCAATTCCAAATAATGGCATATATAAGAAAGATCTAGTTTTAAATCAGTTTTCAAAGAAATCTTAAGGCATATCTCTAATTTTTGTTACAAGAAAAATAATCTTCTAATCAACACACATGTTCTTTTTTTTTTTTTTAAGATTTATTTATTTATGCATACAAGACCTGGGGTTCAGACCAGAGGTGTGGGGGTGAGAGGATTCACCAGAGACAGAGTAGGGAACAGAACAGGCAGACTGACTGAAATACACTGCTGAGGGGAGCAGCGGGCGAGTCAGGAGAGGTCTGCTGCGCCATGTGGGTTTCTCCCTGGCTGGGGCTCGAACTCGTGCTGCAGTGGCTGCGGACAGCTTCATAGGTTGCGTCTTAACCCCTTGTGCCACCAGGGAGGCCCATCAACACACATTTTCTTAATGACATTATCACCAAATGGGTTGGATTTTCATGGCCAACAGGGAATTTAAGGCATAACACAAAAATAATAAGGTAAATCTATACATTTATTTTTTTAATTTTTTAATAAATTGTTTTATATAATTCTTTCATCATTTTTCATTTTCACATAATGTATACATTTTCATTTTGGTTATATTCCCCATACAATTCCCACTCCCCTTATTCTGACCCTAATCCCTCTTCTACCTCCCCGCCCCCCACTGTAATGTGTCTCTGGTCTATAGTTGCTTGTTGACTTTGATTTTTATTTTATTGCAATTAGTCTTTTTCCTGGTCCCTTATTTAGGTTTTCTAAATTCCTGCTATGAGTGAGACCATCCGGTATTTTTCTTTTGCTTTCTGGCTTATTTCGCTGAGCATGATCCCTTCCAGCTCCATCCATGTTGCTGCAAATTGCATGAGTTGATCTTTTTTGATTGCTGAGTAATATTCCATTGTGAATATATACCACATCTTCCTGATCAATCTATACATTTAGATGTAATATTTTAGATTAATATTAAAAGTCCAACTGCTTATCACAGGAACAAAAGAACTTCATGATACTATATATTAGAAGGTTTTAAAATGCGTATTAGATTTTAAAATCTATAAAAGTTAGTTCATAAAAGATTTATAATGACCAGAAACTGGAGACAACCAAAATGTTCCTAAAGTTAAACTGTGGAATACACGCATACCATGAAACACAGCAATATAAGGAACAAACTACTGATGGACACTAACTTACATGGATCGCAACAATACTATGTTGAATGGGGGAAAAAAACCTAGGAAGGTAACATGATTCCATTTATATAACATTTAAAAATTACAAAATATGGAGACTAGGTTAGTAGTTGTAAAAGGTTATGAATGGTGGAGAAAAGTCAACTAACGAGCTCTTAAATGATGAGTAGGTGGTGGGTGCGACTATAAAAGGAGTAGAAAGAGGGAGATATTTGTGGTGATGGTATAGTTCTATATCTTGTCTGTGGTCACCCCAAATCTAAACATGATAAATGAAAAAGAACTACAGACACATTTTATTATGACCAAATTTCTGATTTTGATATTATACTACAGTGATATAAGATGTATGTTCCCACTAGGGAAAGCCAGGTAAAGCATACACAAGATATCTCTATACAATCTTGGTAGCTCTCTGTGAAAAATGTATAAATAATTCTTTTTTTTTTTAAAAAAGTTCTTAAAAATTATCAGAAAAAAGTATAATAAGGATGGGATGATTACTAAAAGCAATATACACTAAAAATTCTACATACCTAGAACATCTCAAAAAACTTTCTCCGTAAGAATGACTAAATAAATATATTTTACTCCATCAAGAGTAACAATCAGAATTGGTTACTTCATAAGCAACTGCTTATTTTTAGGCGTTATCTATAACATATTGGAGAAATTTTGCTCAAAAACCTCACTATCCCATAACAAAATCCTTTCTATTTTTTTTCCAGAAATAATTGTTAAAATACTTATACTAACCCTAAACTGTCATCCTATATACAACTCTCACCCAATGAAAAAAAAAATTATATCAGACTCAATTTAAACTCCGCACCAGCAACTAGCTACAAAACTAAAATCTCTAAATACTAATCATTCCATAAAAGTAAATGTTACTAATTATAACCTAATAAGACACCATATGCTAAGAAAGGTTTTGAAAAAGATTTTTCTTGCCATTTTTATAGATATAATTAACATACAACATGCATTATATTGAAGAGTAATGATTTGCTGTGTATATATTATGAATGCTTACCACAATAATTTAATTAACATTCATTACCTCACAGTTACAAATTTTTCTTGTGATGAGAACTTTTAATATCTGTCTTAGCAATTTTCAAATATACAATACAGTTAGACAGTCACCACACTTTAATTACACCTCCATAACTTATTTACAATTTAAAGTCTGTGCCTTTGGTCCACCTTTACCCATTTCCCCTGACTAATGAAAAATCATTTAAAGCTCTCAAGTGTTAGAAATGGCCGTGTTCATAAGTTTTCCCCAAGATCTTTTATGATGTTTGATTTTACCTTTAATTTATAAATTGCAGGACTTCCTGGGAAAAGTTTAGCTGCTCTTTCAACCCAGTATTTTGCTCTTCCATCAGTAACATCATTTTTACAAAGCAGTTCTGCAATCTTCAACACAAGATCTTTTTGCGTTGGGTTTAATTCCACTGACCGCTGAATCAGACAAGAAATAATTAGTAAGATTCCTAAAGGACATACAATCGTATGTACAAGTTATAAATTCATCACTTCCCCCACTAAAAGCCCTATTCCTAAAGGACAGCATGTGATTTTAAGGTTGTTAAGATTAAAGTGAACCAAGATTTTTTTGAAGATGAAATAAAAATTATGCTTTTATTAAGTAAATGTACACACGAACAATATTTCTGACCACATTAAGATTTGAAGGTGTTAACCTTCTTTTACAAGTGCTAACCTCTTAATGATAAATTATGTAGTATACTTTGGGCCAAATAATTTACAATGTTTCAAGCTATATTGCTCAACAGTGTAATGACACCAATGCTTGTTTCCATGACATACACAAGATACATCTTTAATTATTTATTATATATTGTTCTAGGCATTATGTGTGTGACCATGTGAAAGCTGTATTTTGATCTTACACAGTTTACCTTGTAGCATTCAACAGCTTTGTCTATGTTTTCCTCTACTTCATAAAGAAGACCAAGAAATCTGTGAGCTTTGGGATCTCTTTCTTGCACATTAATATATGTAGATATATACCTGTTCAAAAATAACAATGCAAAAATAATCTTTAAATTATCACGTTTAGAATTGTATTTAAATACTAACTATATAGTACATCATAAGGGAAGCAACACCTAAACTTATTATTATTCTAATTACTGATTACTAACTACTTACTACTTAAATGAGAGTATACGGCTAACTCAAAATATTCACAGAACAAAATGTATAACTCTTAAACACAAACCACAAAGTTGACATACTCATTTTACCATTAAATGTTTTATTTACCAAACATTTTTCCAGCTACACACATTAAGAAATCAACAAATAATTTGCTTTTTCTTCCTGATTACATTTTGGTAAGGCAATTGACCAGCTCTGCATGGAAAGTGATTACAGTAGATATTTTTTAGTTATCATAATGCAAAATTATGGTAAAATTATACTAAAGAGCAACGATTTACCAAATATCAACTAATAGGATGTATTTATCTTTTAAACAAGAAAATAATATCTAATGCTAATGCATGTGCTAAAACACAACAAAAGGAAAATTACTAAATACCCTACCAAATGTAGGTAATTTCCATTTCTTAAACCCAATAACAATGAAAAACAAGTTATCGTCAAGGCTCAATGTCAAGGCTCAATGACTGTTACCTTACGGGATGTTACACCTAAGACCAAAATTGGAGCAAAGTGTTTTATTAAATAAGTGTTTTATTAAATAACTGCCCCAAAATGCTACTATTCAATAAAGGTGCTATCATTTTCTTTATCACCACTGCCATCTTCCCATCAAAGTCTGTCTACCCACCAACCTCTAATTTCCTGTTTTAACCAATCTAAACCAGGAAATTAAGCCCTATGGATTTTACAAAATCTCAAAGGGACTCCTACTGAGTCAAATTTTTACACAAGCTATTCTGCCCAGGACTCCTGCCCAGAGTTTAATTTTGTATTCACTGATCCTTTCCAGCTCAATAAAGTACCAGATATTTAACCAGGAAGAAATTAAGATGTAAGTATGGTTCACTTTAATTCTAACCCAGAACAATCTTTTAGAAATGCATTTTAAGCCAAACAACTTCTTTCCCTAGGTACAAACAAGCAGCAGATATGCAGAAATACTCATTATATGCTCAATTTCAATGGAATTTAGGCTTGTCTTAATATCAGTCTAAGAAAAGAATGCCTAAATCCCAGGACATAACTAAGAGTACAATATTTTTATCCCTTTCAAAGAACATGAGTTAAAGTCATTGATTTCAGAAAACTAATATTTATAGCTTGGTACTTACTTTTTAGCAAGATCGTATTCTTTAGCTTCATAGTATAGTTTTGCAAAATAAAATCCCTTCATTGACTTCTAAAAAAAAAATTGAGAATTCTTTCACTTTTCATATTTTGAAAATTCTTTTTGCAATTTTCACATAAGGACTAAATATGTGTCCTAACATGATACATTAATATATCTGATTTCTGTCCACTTCAAAGGTAGGGGGGAAATGCCTATAGCAATGTATTTATGGTCTAAAAGTCATGATTCCATATCTTATAATTCCCAGCATAAAACAAAAAATTTAACAACAGCCAAGACAAGAGCACATCAGAAGTTAATTTACATAAGCAAGAAAAGTTAGGAACCATGTGGTGCCACTTTTTCTACAGATAGGCAAATAGAGGGATATCAGAAACCTCTCTTCTACTAAGTATAAGTCTATAGGAAAGAATAAGCAAATACTTCAAACCCACTACAGCATGGAGATTCCCTGGCCCAAGTACTGTTCTCCCTACATATCAGTATTTGCATTCAATGCATTTTATAAGAGCAGAAATAAAAATTGAATTTTTTTAAAAAAATTAATTTATTTTTATACAAGAGCTGAGGTACAGGCCAGAGATGTGGGAGAGTGAAAGGATTCACCAGAGACAGACCAGGGAGCAGAACAGGCAAACAGATAACTGAAATACACTGCTGAGGGGAGCAGCGGGAGCGACAAAAGAGGTCTGCCACGCCATGTGGGAATCTCCCTGGCCGGCCGAGAATCAAACCCACGCTGCAGAGGCTGCAGACAGTCTCACAGTGCTGCCCTCAACCCGCTGTGCCACCAGGGAGGCCCAAAAATTGAATTCTTTCTGTAAAAACCAAGTCCACACCCTGATTCTGTTATTTCCCTAAACTCCGAAGTCCAGAATGCTAGGGTACACATGAACATGTGAAAAGAAACAGTCATCAAACATCTTATTTTTAAAAACCATATAAGAATACAGAAAAAGTCAATATAGTAAGTGAAAAATACAGTATAAAAAGGAGTATGTTTTTATTTATTTTATTTCTAAAAAAACGCAGATTTTGGATTTGTTCATCAGATACTGAGGAATCAGTAGTAATCAAAAAAATCTGTCTTCATGAAGCCTACATTTCATGAAAGGTGGCAAGCAAATAGCTATCTAGATGAGAGTAGGACAGAGTGCTTTTTACAGTATCTCATCAGTTACTACAGTACATTATATTTTAACCAAGCTGAACTCAGTATTTATCTCACAAATCACAAGTATCCTAACATTGTGGCTGTTTAGTTGGCAGTGTTTCTTCTTAGTTGGTAATCACAGTGGGTACAATACCATTCATGGATTCTATAAAAGAGACGGGATTGTCAGGAAAAGGTCTCATTAAGTAGGTATTGATCAGAAACCTAAATAAAGTGAAGAAGTGGTTTTCTCGGGCAGACTAGACAACAGGTGGATCACAACAATTTAACTAATCCTCATTGTTTACTATTTAGTGCCTTTTCCATCTTATGAAATCTACAGAAAATATTCTTAAATTGCATGATGTGTGTGTGTGTACAGGCTTGGGGGCATACAATTTCAGCTTTGCAAGATGAAAAAATGCTGGAGACCTGCTGCATTACAATTTGAACACATTTAACATTAATGAATTGTACACTTAAAGACAGTTACAGTAAATTTTATATGTTTTGTACGGGGGGGGGAAGCAAACAAAAAAAACAACCCCAAAAAAAGAGAATCAGAAACAAATTATAGCAGTCTCTATAACCAAAAAACTAACAGGAAGAGAACAGAACATTTAAATCGACAGCACCTTCTTACATGGTTCTGAGTATGGAATAAGTTAAATTATTTAAACAGTCAAATCATAATTTAGCTTTTTTTAGAACAACTTTGAAAACTACTATGGGTAGCCAGTTAACGTCCAGTACATAATAAGGAGCTTAAAAGTAGCAACTACATCCCAACAATTAAAAAGATGAACTAAAAAAAAAAAAAAATCAACTATTCATATATCATAAGAGAAGTTAGGGTATTAACTGCCCCCCAAACTGGAGTGACAGCAACTATATAAAATCAAACCTTAGTATAGAAAACCCTCCCTGAGAACCAGTGCCAGGACAGGAAAATCTAAACTGTAACTGACAAATTGCCAGATGTGAACAAATCTGAGATATAAAAACTCTACCACATTACTAAAGTCATTTTTTCAGCAGTTCCTTTTATCCAGTAGTATGTCACGTCCAGTTACTAAGAAAAAAATGATTAAAACCAGTTTAAAGAGATAGAACAAGCATCAGAACCAGACTGAGATGTGGAAAGTGTGTAGCAATTATCCGACTAGCATTAAAATTACTATGTAGGGTCTCCCTGGTGGCTCAGCGATTGAGAGCTGGGTTGCGAAGCTGCCCACAGCCTCTGCAGCACCAGTTCAATCCCAAACCCTGGGGAGAGTCCCACATGGCGCACAGACCTCTCCTGCAGCCCGCTGCTCCCCTCAGCAGTGTACTTCGGTCCTTCTGCCTGCTCTGCTCCCTGCTCTGGCTCTGGAGAATTCTCTCACCCTCCCATGCTTCTGACTGTACCCAGTGCTTGTATAAATAAAATAAATCTTTGAAAAAAAATTACTATGTAATTAATATTTTAAAGACTTTAATGGATAAAGTAAACATAAATAATGTAAGAGAGACGATTCTAACAGAGAGAAATGCTTAAGATCAAAAACAGTAATAGAAATGAATATCTTTGATAGGTATGACCGGATGCAGTTGAGGAGGAAATTGCTAAACTTGAGACGATAGAAATCTACAAAACTGATAAGCAAAATGAAAAAAAGACAACAATAAACAAAAGAGTATCCAACAACTATGGAACAACTACAAAAAGACTAACATCCATATAATGAAACCACAACAAGAACAGGAGAAATATCTGAAACTGTAATTACTTAGAATTTTCCCCAAACTAATGTCATCCATAAAATCACAGATCCAGGAAGCTCAGAGAACACTGAGAAATATATATGCACCCCCCCCCAAAAAAATACAGGCATATTATCATCAAAATATTGAATACAAAGAAACAAAAATTCCTGACAGAAGTTAGAGGAAAATATCTCACCTATATAAGAGCAAAGATTACATGCAACTTTTCAAAAACTATGCAACTATGCAAGTGGAGTAAAACAGTGTTGAAAGAAAATGATCAAACTAGAATTCTGTATACTGCCATATTATCCTTTTTAAGTAATAAGACTTCCTCAGAACACAAAATTGAGGAAATTTGTTACCAACAGACACTTCCTTTCCCCTTCTTTCCATTCACTCAGCTAGCAGCTAAGAAACACGTGCATAAAAACACATGCAAAGAATAAAGGTAAAAAGAAAAACTAATTTTTCATATTCTTAATTGACCTAAGAGATGAGTTCATTCAAAATAGTACTTACATATATTCAATTATGTATCTCATACATAAAACCTGTGTGCACAGGGCCTCCCTGGAGGCACAGGGGTTAAAGTCTCAGGGCCATCAAGCTATCACCAGCCATGGCATGAGTTCAAATCCCACTGCGGAGCTAACCCACATGGCAAAGCAGACCTCTCCTTTCTCGCCTGCTGCTCCCCTTAGCAGTATATTTCAGCAGATCCACCTGTTCTGCTCCCCACTCTGTCTCTGGTGAATCCTCCCCACTCCTCACACACACACACGCCCCTGCACCTCTGGACTACACCCCAGTTCTTGTATGCTTAAATAAAAAACAAAGCATCTGTGTGTGCATATATATATATATATATATATGCCTAAGTAAAATGAATGATGTAATGATATAAAATGAGAAAGATTAGAATTTTTTCACAACAAGATATTCACATTACCCAGGAAGAAGTGTAGTAGTATTTGAAAGTGTACTTGAACTCATTGTAAATGTATATTTCAAATTCTTGGGCAAACCAATAAACAAGCTAAAAAAAAAAAAATGTAACTGATATGTTAAGAAAGAGAAAATAGAATATAAAATGCTCAATTAAAACTACAAAAGGTAGAAAAAGTGGAAAATGAAAACAAAGACAAGGATAACAACTAGAAAACAGTAACAAATATGGTAAATATTAACTACCTGAATATCAGTGGTGTAAATATACCAATTACAAAAACAGACCTTGTGTAGGACTCAACAATATGTTTTTATAAATAATCTAAGTTAAATGTGAAAACACATTCAGATTAAAAGGAAATGGTTGGCTTTTTACCCTGGCAGAGTCTGGAGAATACATGCAGAAATGGCATCTCAAAAGGGGAAGAAAAAGAACAGATTATCAGCACTGGCCTTTAGATGGCTGCCACATCTTTGATTCTTCCAATGGCACTTTTGCCCATGTCACTGATTTTCCTGGCAAGAAAACGATCTACCATGTAACTGCTGGGATGAAGGTAAAGGCTGAATAAAATGAATCCTCTCCATATGTTGCCACATTGGTTGCTCAGGACGTGACCTCGAGTTGCAAGGAACTGGGCATCACTGCCCTCCACATCAAACTCCAGGCCACAGAAAATAATCAAGTCTCCTAGACCAAAACCTTTGCCCACTCAGGAATGACAATAGGGTAAATTGAGAATGTCACTCCACCCCAGCCAATAGCACTTGCAGGAAGGGGTTTGTTGAGGTTGCTGTCTGTGAACAGGACTCAAGTTATTTTCCGTTAAAATAAACTGCCCTCATATAAGTAAAAATAAATGAATAAAAAAGTAACATCAATCTATAGAAAGCAAGAGTAACATTATTAACTTCAGATAGTAAAGACTTCTGAGTAAAGAAAATTATCAGGGATAAAACATTACATAATGACAAGAGAACACATTAGTCCTTAGTGTGTATGCACATAGATAACAGAGGCAAAAAACTCATCAAATGGCAAAGAAAAACACATGGATCCACAATTTCCAATATCCTTCTATCAAAAACAAACTTATCCAGTAGGCTGAAAGTCATTAAGGAAATAGCTGAACTAAACAATATCATCACTCAACCTGATACACCTGACATCTATATACTACTTCATTCAACAACACCA